TGTGCTAGTCTATGCCCTGCAGGATTTTGCTGCCGGCGTGGCCCGTGTGAGGAGCAGCCAATCATCCGAGCAAGCGTGAGCCCCTGATATGGCTTGGCAGCTGATGCAGGGTGGACTTTGGCCTTGGAGTGCCAATCATAAGCTAAAATCTTCAGAGCTGGCCATTGAGACCCATTTTGGCATCTGCATGCTGCCCCTTGCTGCTTCATTTAAATTTTAAGCTCCTGGGATTCGCCCGGCTGAGAAACTTTCGCGTGATGTCTGCCAGTTCGTGTGCGAACAAAAGAACTGCAGCTGTCCCTATGCGCGCAAGCATGTCTATGCACTTGTGTCCCTTGGCGCAGTCAGTGCCCTTGAAATCATGTTTGCAACGCAGGTGACCAGACAGTGGGAACAAGGCCTCTTGGCCGAGACCATGTGTGAGGTTTGAGTCAGTTTGAAACGCAACGCATTCAGTCTACCTCCTGTTTATGTGCTTTGTGCTTTCAAGCGCCGAGGAAAAAAAGGAAATCTCAGACCATTGCTGCCCTGGATCGGGAACTCCAGAAGAGGAAGTGGCAGGGTCAGGCCGAAGCCCATCCCAGAGCATTGGAGCAAGATGGGCTGAGCTATCGTTTGAACAATGTGGTGGGCTCGGAGTTGGGTTCCAAAGCCATGGCTGGCCTGCAGAAAAAGGCCGCAGACATCTCCTACGTAAGTGAACTGTGCTCGGCAGCTGAAGCTGAGAGTGGTCATAGGATGAAGCAAGGAACAAAGGACCTGGCAGGGCGCAAAACAGAACGGCGAGTTCATCAATTCTTTGGACGCAGTTTTCCGAAAGTATCCTCCTTGGAAGTTCCACTTTTGGTGTCCAAGGAAAAAGAAAAAGGTAGCAACGGTAAAATGCAGTTCCTTGGCTTTCGCGAGAGGCTGGAATATGACCCTCTATAATGTACTCATCTAGAAAGCTTTGAATAGATTTAGGTTTTTGGTGAGGGGAAGACCTGTAGTCTTGCCATAACCGTGAATTTCCTAAACATGCAGGTGTCATCTTGCCAAGCTCCTACATGCAGTGGCTGGAAAAGCGGCCGTGGCTGCTGGGCAAGTTGTGCTTTGGTGAATCGACTCCTGATGAGCGGAAGAGGTCCCTCTTGCAAATTATGGGGGAGGGTTGGGGTGGCATCAGTCCATGTGCATGTCTGCTAGCTTCAGCTGATGTGTGTTTGTTTCTGTCTGCATATGTGTGCGTGTCTTCTTTCCTATAGCTCTCAGGTTTGCATCTATGATGCGAAAATCGGTGCCAGCATATACTGGAGGCCGCATGAATTTGCAACATGACGCATTATACGTTGCGCTGTAATCATCTAGCCTGAACTGGGTGACAACACAGGTGAAGCAGACCTACCTGTGCGAATTCATGGCGATGAGGGACCGGGATTAAAGTTCAAGAACGTCTTGGTCCTGAACATGTGCTTCCCCTTCACTCACTCTGGTGACCCTTGGGCTACTTTATTAGCAGTGGCAGTGAAATCTCTGTTCCAGAAATCCCCTCATGTGTCATCTTCAGGATACTCTCCTCTCCAAGCTAGCCCTTTGTGTCTCGGCGTATTGTGTGTGTGCCTGCTGTGCTACTTCGTGGGGTGTCAGCTCGAGGTGTTCTCTCTGGGCCCACGGTTATGACGCGTGCAATGAAGAGAAAAAATGCTTGGATTTGCGAGACCCCAACCCTGGATGTTCTCTTTCGCCACATTGCAGATGATCTCACGAAAACGAAGCTCGCTTCAGGAAAGCAGTGGTCTTGCGATCAATTTTTTCTAGTCACATGTGAGCTAGCTGAGGCGGTTCCGCTATCAGGGAATTGAAAGAAAGCTGTGCTTCTATGGCTTGTGTGGAGACCAAAAATGGTTTCAGCAGGTCCTCCAATTGCCTTGCTCTCAGCTACTGCTATCAACTGGACTAGGGTGGCCTTTTGCGTACCAAGTCCGCGGCATTGGAAGGGCAATGGTGAGGCTTTGGGAAACAGGACTGGACTTAGGTACTTAGTGCAGCATGTGTGCAAGTGCAGCTATAAAACTAACCACAAAATCTATATTTCTGCGTGTAAAAGCTTTGTTTGCCAGGATGTGTATGCAATGCTCGTATCTTGCTTGCATACTCATACGTGTGAAGCATGTGTGGCATGTGCAGTGGCTATGGCAGCATGAATATGTTCAAGGTTGGCCAGCACTGTGGACCCCCTGGATGGCCGCACATATCTATCGCCAGCTTCTGGCCACTACTTGAATTTGTACGGGGATGCTCCTTGGGAGCTTTGCGATCGTGAGTCCAATGAGGATTCATTTTTGTAATGTTGTCCAAAACATGAGTACTAGCCTTAATTCTTGTCCAAGCGCGAGGACTTTCTGGCGACACTGAGGGCCTCAAGCCCAAGTTTACCGCCACTGGTTGAGATAGAAGGTTGGGACTCCAAGCTCGTGCATTTTGATGTTCTTCATGTTTGTTACCGTGGGTTCGGCCCAGACTATGTAGCGTCGTGCCTTCTGGATATCTTCAAAACAAATCAGCTGCCTCGAGCGCACGACCTGGCTTGCTTCTGGGCCAAAAGTCGCGGACAAGAGTTGGCGTGCGATGAGCTGGCGATCGTGATGGAGCAGCACTTTCCCACGCTCCAAGCGAAGGGGATGGACATCAAATTATTGATACTTTGGCTTGTGCCCTGCCGAAAAGTAAATACTTCTTATTCACGTTGATCCTCCTTTTTGGACCTTAGCGTTGGCAGCTGCTATTAGCGCACGAGTCCCTTTGACTCTGAAATTGCAGGCTGACATAATGCCGGATGCCACGAGGGCTTGGGAAGACCGACCACATGCGCAGGTGTTGTGCATGAACCCTTGCAAACTTGAGTTATGCAGTATCAGCTTGCAGACTAGTTTCTGAAGGCGGTAGTTGCGTGAAAAGCACTTTCATGTTTTTCTGATCATTTCAGGACAGCTCGAAGCCTGGCCAAGAGCGTTCGACTGATGGAGAAACACACATACATCATTGCAGCTGAGCAGATTCCCAATGCCAAGACCTATGCTCGCCGCTTTCTGCTTGGGTATACATGGCTGGCATTCAATGCGTACGTTGCTGGGAAGCATCGCTTTAAATTGCGACCAAAGTTCCTTTGCTGCAGTTGTTGAAGTATGGGTATTTGGAAAAATACGCTGGACCTTCATGAATGTGCCTTCATATTAAGGCTGCATACATGGTGGCATATGTTTGCGCACCTGAACAAGATGCCCTTGAATCCGCGCATGACGTCGTGCTTTGGAGACGAGGACTTTGTGCGGCGGCTGTGCAATATAGCACCTTGCAATATGTATGACGGCCTTTGCTTTCATAGCTTGCCAGCTTCAGTTCAACTTGCAGCTTGAATGCAACTCAGGCTTCAGGCTGCCATATGTCTACGTTGCACAAGAACGGCCTTCGTCGCTACCTGTGTGCAGTAGTGCCACACTGGTGCAGCAAATTCCTGCCTGCAAAGATGTGAAAACGAAAGGTCTAGCGTGTATGAGCTAGTGCACTGAAACTCCACATATGTATCTGAAGAAAAACCTTACTGAAGTATTATAGTGCGGCATATGCTGGAGGTTCAGTCCACTATCTTGTACGATTTTTCGGTGCAAGATCCGTGTGAGTGCACATGTGCAAATGCTCTGTGGCAGGCAGTATGTACTTGATTTGCAGATTTGCATGCGCATATATATGTATATATATACATATCTATATATGACGCACAGCAAATTCTAATATCTTGCAAGTTTTCTATTTTATTGACCATATGTGCATAAATGCAGCAGCTCGATTGCAGATATGAAAGAAAATGCTATGGGTTTGCAAAAACTTCATCAGCACCAATGCACTTCTATAGAAAATGCAGCTTGATTTGGGGTGGGGTGCGCATTTTTCGGCTGAAATCTGCGGGAAGCAAATTTTTGGATTTTTTGAAAAATGTTGAATCGACTGAAAAAGTGTGAATCGACGTTTTTTTTCTGCTGAAGTGACCCCTCCAGGTTTGAGACGCGAAGACCCGAGACGAGTCCAAAAGTGACGACAGATCTGCGTTTCGCGACCCCCCCGATCCCTGTGACTGTTGACACTTAATTTTGAGACGCGAAGACCCGAGACGAGTCGAAAAGTGACAACAGTTCTTGCTTTCGCGAGCACGACCCCCCCGATCCCTGTGATTGTTGACACTTTTGAGACACGAAACGTAAAAAGTGACGACAGTTCTGCGTTTCGCGACGATTTTCGTCTCTCCGGCAAGTCCGACGCGCCGCGGACGCTTGCGGACGCTTGCGAACGATTGCGGACGCTTGCGAACGATTGCGAACGCTTGCGAACACAAACGCAACGACCTCGCGTCGCCTCCTGGACCCCTGGACCCCAACTTTAAAACGGGAACCCTTCTGCTACGCATTCGGGAAAACTTAGATCATTCAAAACTAATGGGTCCTCTAAAGTGTCATGGATAGTGGATCCGATTAAGGCGTCTGCCCACTTCATTTGGCTGTCGTGGGCGGCCTGCGCGGCAACCTCATCGTGGACGAACCCAGGGCTGGCATTCTGAGGCATCTCCCCAACAAGAGGCCCCGTCGTATGAGAAATCTAATCGCTTTTCAGCATAAGGGTGCCCCTACTTACCTGAGAGACACCCTTCCAAGGGCGCGGCCCACTCACCCCCTCCGGCTCCAAGCCTTGGTGCTTGTTGCTTGGGCCAATGAGCAATGCCCGTGACTAAGCCACTTGCAGACCCCCTTTTCCTTCTTTTCCGACCGCGCTACAAGTGGGGATGGGGCACAGGAGCCGCCTGCTAAAGGATGTTCCTCGTTTTCGCGGGCAGCTTCAGGCCCGTTTCTGACTTGCAGGAAACAACATCTGCAAGCAGACACCTGATTGCCGATGTGATGAAGGCTTCTTTGGCGTTTACCCATCAGCTTGTCTCCTCTCTTCAGCCTCTCAGTTGGAAGCTGCGGATACTACAGGGAGGCTTTCGTGGTTGCCTCCAGCGCGGTCTCTTTCCTCAGCTGGTTTTCAGTCTGCCACAGCTGGATGCTCCAGTGGCCAAGGTTGATCTCTTCAAATAGTTGCTTGCGGCCCAGCCGCACCATCCTTGCAAAGTACCCTTCTGGCTGCAAAAGCAACGCGGCAGGGGAGTCAAATTCGACGACCTCGCCCTTGCTAAGCACCAAGATCCTGATGCTTGAAAAGTCTTCATCTCAGACGGTGCTCTCCACACACACCCAGACATGTCTGTGCGGGCTCTCCTGTCGTAATCCAAAATTGTGCTCAGGCGATGGGCGACGGTGAGGACAGTGCACTTCTCGTGACCTTCCCAGGACCCAGGCGGCTTGGCTCTCCCCCGCCAGCTGTGAGTTCAGCCAAAATCTGCCCTTGCCCCCAACCTTTGGACCAGTGTTCTTGGAGCGCATGTTTGATGAGACTGTCAGTCTCCTCGTCCTCAGCAGAACATTTGAAACTTCAGTCTCGCGACAAGGGCAAGCTTGTCGGGCCCACAGAAGACAAGGAGCTACTGATGATGTGGCTTCGTCTAGAATCATAATGCGGTTCTCCCGCACAAAGGCCTTGGCCAAAGGCTGGCATGATGCCAGCAACACATCCAGCAATGCAAGTCAGTCAAAGGAGGCAAGTTCCTTCAAGTTTGTTTGGGCTTGCCACAGCCATGCAAACACCAACGCCAAGGCACTCTGGCGATGCAAAGTAGCTGCCGCTGGCCCTTGCATCGCAAATCCCAATGCAACGCGGCAAACATGCCCGATGACTGGAACCCCGTGCACGTAATACTGAAAATCACTGCAGGGTGGCCAGCCTGAGAGAGGTTCCCGCCCTGCTCGGCGATTACCATGTCCAAGCCAGAATCTTTGACGAGACCTTGGCCAGAGCGGCAGCAACAGCCCTCGTACTTCCTATCACAGCCAACGGCTTCTTCCTGCCTTGTAGACCGACCCTTTGCAGCGCTTCCTCGAGCACGTGGTCATCTAAGACGCGCCGAAACGGATCCAAATTCGAGCGAAGGGAGCCGCTGAAGATGATGGACTCCTGCTAGTAAAGCCATGCTTTCACTCGCAATCTTTCGAACTTTCAAACCTGAGGAATGATCGCCAGATTCTTCCGCAGCATATGCAGGCCAATCTTCGAAATGTCTACGCCGTCAAGCTTGATGTTGCCGGCAACCGGATCCTAAGACCATGCCGAGCCAGGCTCAGCGGAAAACATAACCAAACCCACAGCCAGCACCAAACGAGGGATGTCAAGATGCCACGACACGAAACAATGCCATGATCAGGCTGGACTTGCCAGCTCCACTTCGCCCGCAAACACCGACCTGGCAGCTGCAGCAGTGTTCGCGACAAAAACAAGTCGTCTGAAAATCAAACGAGTCTGGGACACGCGTGTTCCTGGGGGAGCATGGAAGCTAACTTCTTTGAGCACGAGGTCACCATCACGGTACTGCACAGAAACCTTTGCAGGCCAGTGATCTCATGTTGGCTCAAGCAAAGCTATCGCATCCAAGCAACATTTTCGAAGGCAATGGATCCCTGGGGCCACTGGCCCAGCTGAAGATCCTGTGATTCAACGAGCGATGGTTCCTGTGGAATCTTCTCGAAGCTGAGGACACGTTCACAAGCAGTTAGCATTTGTCCAATCAATATAGCTAGCTTTGTGCATCGCTGAAACATCGCTGTCATCTGTATGGCATAGACAAGGGCCAAACCAACCACGTTGCCATCCACAAAGCTGCGCAAGGCCACAGACAAATAGCTGAAGCTGCCAATGATGACGACTGTCAGAAGCTCGAGCCTGAACTGCAGCCAAATGTCTGACATGCTGGCTGCATGAAAGAAGCGAAGGTTGCGCCGCATGACTTGCGTGTGCGCTTGGCTGAAGCGTTCCTCCTGGCCCCAAGCGCGGATCGTCTGCAAGCCGGATAAGGTTTCTGCGAAGGAGGTGTAAATGGGAGATCTTGCGGAACTTTCGAATCTCTGCAGCCCACGTAAGAGATATCCCGAGCGAACAGCAACAATCACGAATACCACAGACAGCAAGCCCAAGACAATAGCGAACCAGGGCACCGCGAAGATTGTCAGCCCAAAGATGATGGCCAACTGCGCACCATTTGAAAGGAACTGGGTTAAAAATTCAGGCAACTGCACATCTGCAAACTCCAGATCCTTGGAGAACTTGTTGCAAATCTCTCCACTGGTCACCACATCGAAGTAGGTAGTCACCGGAGCTCGCAGCAACCGCCAAAACATGGCATTATGCAGGAGGCGTGCAGCACGGAAGCTGGCAACAGTGCACACAGCAATGCGAAGGCCTAGCACAATTGCCAGTATGCCAAGGAGTACAACAGGAGCGGAGAAGTCCGTCTGCCCAGCTCCCCACTGAGTAAGGCTCACATCAGCAAGGACCCTGCAACCCTGCCCCACAAGGAAGATAAAACAAATGGGCACACCAATTAAAAAGCCCTGGCATGGATGCAGAGGCCCCCCCAGCCACTTACCAAGAGCAGTGATCGGAAAGGTCTTTCCGCTTGCGTCTGCCCGCATGAGCCGGCGAGACGAATCTTTCGGTGTCCTTGCCGCCGACCGATCGGGCGAACGAGTTGGCGACCGAGAGCTTTCATTCGCCTTGCTCTGTCCTTGTCCAGCATTCTCCAACAAGGAAGTGGGACCCACTTGCTGGCGAACCTCATCTTGAGATCCTGCTGCAACAAGAACTCCGTCATCCATGACTAGAAGTTTCTCAAAGTTTGGCAGAAGGTGAGTCTGGGAGGACATGGCACAAAGCACTGTGCATCCACTGGTCATCTGGATCAGGCCCTCAATGACAGTCTGCGCTGTGAGTGTGTCAAGCGCAGCAAATGGCGCGTCCAACATGATCACGTCCGCACTTCCTGCCTTGGCGGCGTAGAGGCAGCGTGCCAGTCCCACCCGGGCTTTTTGGCCACCAGAGAGATTAATCCCCCGTTCCCCAATGTCTGTCAAATCTCCATCCAGCAAGGACTCCAAATCGGGTAGGAGTGCTGCCGAATCAAGCACTTGATCATAGATCTCCTGATCGCGAAACAGGACTACTTTTGCCAAGCCTGCAAGCTTGTTTGCACATCTACCCCACCTGCAAACCTCCCGCATGGCTATCTCTTGATGGATTGTGGACTACAGTACCTAGCGCAGGACTGCAAGCCCTGTTAGGGGCTGCTAGGGCAGAGTTTTAGATTTGACCAAGTCCTCGTCCATTGGCAGGCCAAAGAGTATGTTGTTGCGCAAGCTCGTATTCTGGATCCAAGGCACTTGTGCCATGTAGGCAACTCGGCCCTGTAACAAGCTTCTGCCCTGTTGAGACTGCATTTCACCAAGCAACATGGAAAGAAATGATGTCTTGCCGGAGCCCACTTTGCCAATGATAGCGACTCGGCTTCCACGTTCCAGACAACAGGAGGTCACCCGCAAACGGAAAGAAAGAGTGGAATCCCAACAGCACACAACCTCCTTTGCATAGGCTGCATAGGCAGCGAGCTCAGGGTCATGTTCCTCTGGGTGCACATCTCGGCGGCGACTGTCTTCGCGTTGCAGGAAGGAGGAGATCCTCTTCGCCGCTACCAGGCAGTCTTGCGTTGAAGCAAGTGACAGGGCAAGTAAGTTCATCGGAAACCTCAATGTATTCAGCAACCCTAAGATCATGATTGCCTCCGATAGCTCCAACTCTCCGTCTTGCCACATCTTCCCAGCGAGTATCAGTGCAAGCGCAAGTGCCTCAGGCGGCCAATCCCTTCACATACGAGTATGCAAACTGCAGCGCTGGAAGTTTACCCGACCAAAATTTCAACAGGCAAGCTGACTTTTCCAGCTGAGACCAGCACCGGTGCCATCAAGAGAAGGCCCTCACGCACGACAATCTTCATTAGCAGAGAGGTGCACAACTTGGAGCATTCTGTTCGTCTCGCAGAAGCTACATACTGATAGATTGCATCCTCCCACGCGTAGAGCTTTGCCACACGGATGCCTTGCACCACCTCCGTTACAAACTTCATGCGCTCATCGGTGAAGGCCAGAGCTTTGACTCGAACTTGACCACCACGCTTGGCAATCATGTGCTGGATGGGGACCGTAAAGAAAAGGACAGCCAGCCCGAGGAACCCAACAGGACCAACGCGAAAGGCCATGACAACCCCACACAACAGCATCGTGGCCGGGCTCATCCACAGGAAATGGAAAGTTTGCGCGGCCTGAATAAATTTCCTCAGTTCCGCTTCTGCCGGGCTTCCAGCTGTTTCTGAAGCCCAAGGCTTGAAATTGGAGACTACAGCAATGCTTGGCGGGCTGCTCAGCATCTACTGCCATCAGGTTGGTCGTCTGGCCCGTCGAACCCTCCGCTCTCGCCTGTGCAGACATGTTGATGGCCTTCTCGTAAATGGCGCCCATGGCAGCCGTCCTGCGCCGCGAAAGAGACAGAGAGAGAGAGAGAGCGAGAGAGAGCTTCAAAGGCTTTCAGGGAACGATTTCAGGGCCATGAACAGTCCTCGACAGCACCGCCAATACAAAGCCATGCCGAAAGTACTCAGAGATGAGAACTGATGATGCCAATGCAGAGGCAGAGATTAAGGAAGCCAGTAGCCAGCCAGCACCTGACTTCAAAAACATCCTGCTCCGCCGGTCAACCAGTCAACCAGCCAGCTCAGTCTGAAGCCTTCTGGTGCTGTCGATGAATTTAGGATATCCGTGAGAGTCTGGATCAGGAGAGGCTGCGCCAACTGAAAACCTGAAAGCTCTCTCCAAGTCGTGACTTCTGCTTCGTCTGGCATTCCATCACACATCCGTCACTCATCCCTGCCAAGCCCTGCCAAGCTGCTCATGAAAATGAAGAGCAGGCATCCGGAATGCATGACACGGCATGCATTGGCGCGAAGCATCGCCCGTGCCACGGAAGGTGACTTCTTCCGCCTAGGCTGCTGAACATGGCAGCCATGCCAAATTCATCTAAGCAGGACGCCGGGCTGCCGCTCGATCTCCCACGAAAGCTTGAACTGGCTCACCGCAGCATCAAATGATTGTCCTCAAGGTGGAATGCGCGGATAACTGCAGAAGCTGGCAGTCCCTTGCAATCTCAGCAAGCAGGCCTGAGGGCGCTTGCCAAACGTCATGGGGTTGCAGCTCACCCTTCACTGCCTTCTGTGCCAGCGGAGTGAGCCAGCTAATGCTCGTCACTGACCAGCAGTGAGCTTTCTCTAGGGGATGTTCCGTACCTCCACATCAGGTTCACGGCTGACCAAGCGCTATTTGTTGGAGCGAGCGGTCTTTCTTGGGATACCGAACTTACACAACCCCGTGACCCCGAGTACTACTGAGGTCCTTACTGCATGCACTCTCGACAGACAAGCCTAAGGCTGAGATGAGCCTTCTTCTGCAAGACCCGCCGCCATGCACGCATTTGGCAGATTCAGATCTTGGGGCTAAAGTACTGACACAGCTTCCACAGAAGGAACCAGGCCTCATATATCAGGAGAAGCCTTTTTGGGAAAGGTTTGTCCGCGGCTTACGGAAGATCAAAGACTGGGAAGCTTGTCCTAGGGATTGCTTCGATGTTTTGAGAATTCTGCTGCCGAGCGAAGCGGCACTGGTGCAACGCTGTCGCATCTCTCGCAACATGGGCATCTCACGCAACTGCCATGACCTTGCTTCCACACTTTCACCTGTTTTGGGGCCGGGCTCCAAGTTCACAGGGCCCAGCTGGTCCTCGCCACAGCCAAACCTTAGCTGCCAGAGTGGCAACCCCCTAGCCCTAACCAATTGTGGTCCCGTGATTGACCTCGACTCCTGGACAGGCACATGCTAATGTTGATTCGGCTTGGCAGTGTTTTTATGTGAAGCAAGCATGACCCTGTGGCACCCTTCGAAGGTTCTTGGAACGCGCTGAGGCCGGCAGGTAAAGTGATTAGCCCCCTTGCTGTGCTCCTATGGCCAGTCGAGCTCGATGGACATTTTTGTTTGAGTTTAGGTTTGGAGGGGTGGTGGAGTGTAGGCCCGAGGCGCATGATGATTGATAGGTACACGGTCCTTGCAGGCAGCTGTTGCACATCAAATTCTGCAAGTCTTCCAATGTCCAAAACTTGACTTCAAGAGATCTAATGGCATTGACTGGCAAGTCAGTACTCTCAGCAGCCGACACCTGGTTCAATTGAAGATACGGTCCATCCAGGCCTTGTCATAAATTACGGGCAACTAGTGTGTAGACCGGCTGCAACAACTCAGGCTATCTCAGGCTCACAGGGCATTGCCACGAAAGCTAACAGTCACACCCTCGCAGCTTGAGCGCATCGCCGGATCTAAACAACGGTACATCGAGGCAACGACAACTTTGAAGCCTCTGCTTCACGCGTTTTTGGGCAGCAGAACCTTGGACACTTCGCACAAAGCGGGGCGTACGAGTACATTGTGAGTGTTGAAAATCTCGGCAAGGCGCTAAATCTCTTCAAGCCCCAGCTGCGTGCCCACTCTTGCGCCTCGGCTCGACAGAAGACACGGCATGCCTGTTTGCACGACCTCATGGCCACAAAAACCGACTGCATGAACAAGATCCCACCCACGCCATCTGTTTTATTTGGATATTGGGATTCGCGGCCAGATGCCCGCAGGAAAAACTTCGCCAGAGCACCAGCCATCAGTTCAAAACTATGGCGACACCCCCCGGCAAAGCGTGTGCTCCGATTGTGGTGCTATCAGCTTTCGGTCTGCCACTTCTGCCAGAGCGCTCCAGCATGGCTGGCAAAGCCGAGCACACAACAAGCGAAACAAATGAAAAAGGGTGTTTTCGATGCAGGCATCTCGGTTAGCCTATAGAAATTCTCATCCAAAAAACAAGCCTGAGTAAAAACACCCCCTCTGCTTTGGGAATTTTGGTAAGTTTGCTGCCTCTGCAGCTTACCAAAGAAATGCTGCGACCCTTTGGGGGCATTCAACATAAAGATGGGTCGGCAATTCGACCACGTGTGAGTCTGTTGCCGTAACCCACAGAGCTTGGCCGCTGCTCTCTTGAAAGAGCGGGCTAGCTTGCCTTCTAACGCTCCGACTTCCGCTGACTTCCATGTCAGATTTCAGGCATGCGATGGACAGTGCTCAACAAATAGCATTGCCCTTGCTAGACGCAAGAAATGTCGCAATCTTGCTGTGATGCTTGGTATGGCCTGATCGACTAGCAGAATATGTCCAACTTTGGCATTTACGTGTTAGACATGCCTGCGACAAGCCCACACAGACTGAACTCCCGCTCAAGACAGACGGTGCTGCTTCAGCACTCACATCATTCTTTGGCTGGTTTCGCTTGCATCGCGTGGTTGTAGCCTGTGCAAAGGTCAAACGGAAAGGAAGCCATCCTTGTGATCAATCAGCAGCCCCACACCTTCTTGAAAATGGGACACTGCGGCCTCAACTTCCCACTCACATGCATAGGTCCAGGGTAACATGGTTGTTGCAGCGTTTCGGCACAGAGCAAGGGTGGGCCCTGAAAGTCTCTGGGGGCTGCTCCACAAGATCTGGTCCATAGGCAGCGCAACGCGAAAGATTCTTCACCACCTGATTGGAAATGGGCTGCAGGAAGCAGAATCAAAGTACCTTGCTCAGGCGCTGGCCTGACTCAGTCGCTGGACATCTGTCTTGTTGGACTTGTTGCCCATGCATCCAAGGTCAATAAATGTCACATGCTGCGTCTCCTGGCTTCACAGTTCAAGCACACCAGTGTCCTGCACATCTCCAAAAAGCAAGGAAGAAATCACTCGTCCTCATCCCATAAGATGTTTTGGGTCCCAGCATCATTGTGTTGCCGGCCGCCATACCGCCTCAAAGGCGAAAGGGTTTCCGGATTTGGCGTTTGATACATGCCAAATAGCAATGTTGGGGCGGGGGGGCCTCCAAACACTCCCCGCATGAGAATAAGAAACCCCCTTTGCCTGTGGAAGCTCGCCATGCACTCACCGACTTTTCCGAAGATTTTGTTGAGTTCAGCCTTCTTCCCCCTCCTTGATGAGTTCATTCATGACAAACACTCGAGGACATGAAAAACCAAGGACAAGAAGAACAGCGGAAATACAACATCAACCTCACTAACTGCTTCACACGAGGGTATCACACAGACGGCTGCTCGTCCTCCACTTCTCTGAGATGACATGGTCCAAGGACTTGCCTGGGGCCTTCTTCATCACAATCAGATCCTCGAAAGTAGAGAAGGCGGGAAGAGGAATTCTTTCGAGGTGTAGTAGGTAGTACACCTTAATTATGGTGTTGCAAAGTTTCCGCTTGGTGTGACTTTGAATCCACGAGGGCCCCCCTTTTAAACTGCGCCTTACAGATGAACAACTCTCGCTTTTGAGTACGTGGCAAGCCTTGGTGCCATGTGCTGTCCAGCTTCATGCTTGCGAACATTGTTCCGCCCCAGGAGCCGCAGCACTTTGAAAGGAAACGCCACGTTAGGATCCTCTGTGATGCCTGGCAGCTCCTGTCCCATGGACAAACATGGAATTATCAGAATTGCTAACAAAAAATGATGATAATTGATCACCAATAAGGATGAAGTATCTTTCAAAGGGGAAAATAGATATCAGCACAGCGATACGCGCTAGCCTGTCTGTCCTCAAACAATTATGCGTAGAGCTTGCATCCCAAGTACCACAGGCCCTTGATGTGTGGACATTCCCGCACGAATAGCAGGCAAGAGTGCAAAAACAGGGGGGCTGTGTCCTGGAAAAGCTTCGTGAACATGCGTTCCTCCACCAGCTGAGGAGGTGCAAACCTCGGCTCGCGGTGCATACACACTAAGAGCTTGCAGGACATACCTGGAATACCGCTTGAGCTGTGCCGTGACATGCGCAACATCAGCAAGATGAACCTTGAAATGAAACTCTTGGGATCAAGCCGATCGAACTTCACCAGCTTCAAAACCAACGTCTCGCCTGGTGATCATGCATAACCCTGCACACTGCATGGCAGGGCATCCAGCTGATATGCGAGGTGGCTTTCAAACAAGGTCAAATGACGGCCTCCTCCTTTCACAAACCAGATGCCTCAGATCGAATCGTCGGAAGCAACGATTGGCAAGTGTGCTCTTCTATCCTGCTTGCATGTCATGTCAGGTGGATGTAGATCTCATGTTCCACCAAAGTGCCTTCGTTCATGCCTCCATGAAATCCGCGCATGGCTTCGAAGGTGGACTGAGGCGATGCTCCCAGCGTCGCCAGCAGCTGCGCACGAAGTGCCGGGTTTGCAGGGTCGAAAACCATCATCCCCAGCGAGAAGTCACGCACCTCGAAGCTATTCCGGCCGGAAAGCTCTTTGGCACCCCCTCCCTGGCACGAAGGGCTTTCGGAGGGGCTTGGTGGTCGCTGAGCCAGTAACGAAGGGAAAGGCAAGGGGGCCGCAGGAAGCTGGCCAGCACTACGACTCAGATAACCCTGACATGGCCGGATCGGAATTGGAGATGTGTTGGGGCTGTAAGGGCTCCCTCTCGGAGACGAAAAAGGACTCCCAGTTGGAGTGGGCAGGAGGGAGTGGAGCGGCGAAACTGACAGCGGCGAGGCGCAGGACAGTGTGGGAGACTGCGGAGCGTGAGGGGTGTGAGGTAGGAGGAGCATCCCTGGTGCCGCTACGATGTTTACCGTCACCCTCCGCTCGTTGTCAGCCCGCTGAGACTTCTTTGGTAGTGTCTGCCTGTTGCTCTGAAGAAGGCATGGCACACTTGGAGCGTGCTGCATGGTCGAGACCTCATCACATTTGGCAGTCACAGGTGCCACGTCATCACTTCTTGCATGCAAACAAGCAACCTTGGATTTGGGGATTCGTGCAGGCACACGCTGGTGCACCCGACTATCTTGAGCAGGAACGGGCTGCCGCCACCATGCGAGGACCACCCCCTTCAAGCTGTCCATGCGACAAGCAGCAGAATTTAGAAGCAACCCGCTGAGCAAACAGCAAAACTGGCAGCGCTTGCCTTCACAGTTGCCGTCGAATCTGCCTGGGCAGCAAGGAATCCTTGCAGCACCACTTTTTACTGGGATTGCATCCATGGACTTGACTCCAAAAAAGCCTCACAAGTAAGGCACACGCTGACAGAAGAAAGCATCGACCTTTGCTTGGAGAAGTGGAATGATAAGATTGAAGTCTCAATACAGGAGGCTCCATATATCATGGATCCCAGTTTTGGGGGATTCTTACGCGAGAAGTCCTGTACTCAGTGTTACATCTGAAGTCTGAAGTTCCAGCTTTGGGGCCCGTGCCAACAAAGCCTAGAAAGTTGAAGCCAGATCCTGCACTTCTCGCTCCTGTGGCCAGCTGTTGAATCCAAACAGGCCTGCCTTTCTTGCCGATCAATTTCTGAGCGCATACACTGCAAAACCCCCAACAGTCTCAGATTCAAGACCAGTGAAGAGGCAAAACTGAAGTGGATTGGATCCAGCGTACAATACTGCCAAACCGACATGGGATTCCAGCTCTCTACTTCAACATAACTAGCTCAGAAACAGCCCGGCCTAGGAAGCGCCTGATCAACTCGATCTCCAACTCTTGATCGCGCCTCATGTCATCGTTCCCACTTTGCAAGGCGTGCCGAAAGATCGAACGAAGCTCATGTGCGTGCTGACCCTGGCACAAGTTTTTTTTCACGCAGGAGGCCCAGCTCTTGCTGCGCTTGTGCCACTCCACACCTTGTCGGAGTTTTACCTGGTGCAAGGCTGACATGTGTTGCAGCCTTATTGTCCGTGCGATTTGTGACTGTTGGGGTCTAAGTCCACGAAGCTATGGCAGCTTCACGACATGCGTTTACTGGCATTGCGTCATGAGTGGTCCGGCTTGCAAGGGACGACTTGGCGCCAGGTTGGTCAAAGGTGTTGAAGACATCCATCGGAAAATAGCGTTTAAGGCTCGCTCGCGGAGCGCCGCTGGTTGGTCGAGACCGTTGAGGCCCAAGGATCGGCCAGGGCCAATGCTTGCAGATTTTCCATCACATCCTGGCGCAGTTTTCTGTACGCCTAGCGCCAGGGACATGTGTTCCTCATGACCTGGCCACAAACACTTGTAGAAGTAATGGGCAGGCTCCCATCCTTTGGGATATTGAGTTCGACGATTCCAGCATTCTTCTTGCTCAACATCTAGCCAAACAAGACAGTTCAGCAAACGGCGCAGTCGGTCAGAACTAAACAGGCAATGACCCTCGACGATCACAATAGGATATTCTTTGATGGCCTCGAGAACCTCTTGCTCCATGCTCTCCCAGTCAGTGGCATCAGGAGACTCCCAGTAAGACAACCACTGATGTCTCTCCCATATCCAAGCCCCCGTCCCGGCACTGTGTCCCAAATCAAAATCATGCTGTGCAATCATAAGGTTTGAGCGTGTGCCATGCCGCTCCCAAAGCATGTATTGAAGCTCTTGTGCAAGAGATGATTTGCCAGCAGACGGGGCACCTGTCACTGCAACCACTAGGGCTGGCCTGCCACCCAAAGAAAGCTCGCCAGAGAAGCCCATTCCCAGACTTGCCCCCTTCCTTTCAGGTAGTGGCACTTCATCTTGACTGGTTCGGTCAATCTGTTCGCTGCCCACTGCGTGCTTTGCTGTCACTTCTTCAACGACAGCCGCCACCTTGGGCATGCTAACCTCCGAGGTGGTCACGCCACTGTAACCTTTTGCACCCAGCTTGGGCTGTCTCTGCTTGTCAAGCGTTGCGGTCTCAGCCAAGTCTTTCGGCTTCTCCTCCGCGGAGTTGGTCCCTCCCTTCGAGTCCTTCGATCGGCTTGCACGAGACCCTGGGCCTGGGCGCTCGGGCTTGCTCTCTACGAAGGCACTCTTGTCAGGGCCATCCTCGTACACGCTGAAATATCTCTCACCTCTGCTGGGAACAAATTTGGCCGCTTTGACTGTCGGAACATGATTCTCACCAAATAGGGTGTAGTAGTTGCGGATCAGGTAATCTGCCACCGACGCAGGAACGAACGTTCTAAGGAGTTCCTCGTCGTTCTCCTTCAGAGCCGCGAGGGCATCCACCGATCTGATATTTCCTGCGAGTTCCTCAACATAATACACGGATGCTCCAGCTGCCTCAGAATTTTCTGCTGTCTCCTGAACAACTTTGTTGTTGGAGCCAGCCCGTCCAACAACCACCATGGGCTGCAGGAACTTCGAGCCATTTCTGCAAAGCTTCACGACAGAGTTTGCCCCGACCACATTGAAAATTGTTACTCCGTGTCGTTTGTCTTGCAACGTTTGGATCATTCGCCCAGCCGAAGTGAAGCTGACTCCTCTTGGTTCAGACCTCAGCCAGCCTGGTGGTCCTTCCGCGGACTTACACGCTAGATCGATGGCAGCAAGCCGATGCTTGTCTTGAATCGGATCAGTTTCCTTCTTGCGCTTGATATAGTTTTGGTTGGTGATGGCCTTGGATGCCAACAACAAAAGTGCGCGCAGCCACAACTTGGATTCATCCGAATGGTAAGTTCCGTGCAAGGAGACCACCCACCACCTTGTAGCCTGCTTGCTCGACTCGTCTTCTGCTCTGCACCATCATCTCAATGTGTTGCTTGTGGACCTCGGCGACCACAGCTAGCACTCACAGCCACGCGCGCTATGTCTATCATCGCCTAGTCCTAGTGCAGCAAGTGTCGGGATTGAAAGCACCATGTATCAAAAGAAGTGCTTCTGGTCGCTCATCATAGGCCGGCGCTGCCATGCAGGTCCGGTACCTTCTGGGTTTTGCCCCTCACATTGCGCATGTCTTGCGCGACACATGTGCATGCAAACGAATCAGACATCTGTGCAGCCCAGGATCTGCAAAAAATCAGCAGTAGGTCAGAGCTAGGGGAATTTGGAGAGTCCATTCGCACTAGGCAAAAGTGCCTGCAAATGGAAACAAGTGCCTTCAACGGTTCTTGGCAAACCGTACTCCCTCCATGCAAGATCAGGTATTTGACTGACCGCTACCGGAATGCAAAGTCGGAATTCAGCCATAAGTTTCGTACCGAATGCTGTCTTGACGCTCCTGTGATGAACCTCTCAGCCGTGGCGCGTCCTGCAATGACGTAGACTACAGTTGTTGATGTGAGTGACTCCTATCATTTGGAAGGCGTGCCTTCGCAGCCTTGAGGGCTTGCTCAACTGCTCTCAAGGCTCGCTCTACGGCCGCGTGTGGACGACCAAGCAATGCTGCTGCACGCGCATGGTCCAAACCTACGCAACATTGACAGTTGCCTCACCAAATTGCCTGGAAATCGAGCATTTGAGGCCCGCACCAACGGACGCGACCTAGGGCACCCACATGAGCAATTGACAGTTCTGCCTGTCGTGTCAAAACCACAGGTGGTTGTTACTTTTGCTACTCAAAGCAGGCTCACTGCCAATACTGCGTTCAGCCCCTTTGTGCGCGTGGTTTCACAATTTGTTAAATCCTCTTGTATCAGGACACTGGTCTCGGGATTGTCAGCCGGCACGAGACACTGAACTGCGCCATGATTTCATTTTATCTCAATGCCTTCCTGTACTTGCCTGCGGCTCAGCATCGCATGACGTGGCGTTAGAAATCATTACCAACGTCACCCAAATTCTAACAGCAGGTTTCTGAATGGTGGGCACAAATTCGATTAATCAAAGCTCAAATGTTGTTATTTCATTTGCACCTCGTACGTAATACTAAGTGAGCCGCCGCAGCAAGTCTTTCCGGTTCGCTGGCTTCTTGCTTTGCAAGTTCCTTGGCTCTTCCGTACAGGACAATGCGTAACACAAACAGCAACATTGATACTGATACCTTGCACTGCGAATGCTGCTCTGAGGTCACGTCAACGGCGGGATCGTGGAAAAATTGACATGACACTCCTACCAAATCTTGACTGTCAAAGTCTGCTGTCATCCAGAACATGCTCAAACAGGGCCATGGCAACCCAAAAACAAGCCTTTCTTGCACTTGCCCTTTAACCAGAACCTGCTGCTGATGGCACATGCTCAAAGAAATGCCTGACCATTGCTTCAATGCAACCACTGGCCTGCAACTTTCTTGCGTAGCCTTAAAGCACGCGAACACACCGCCATCTGGCGAGACTGCGCAGGCAAACTGCCAAGCCAAGGTCCACACAGAGTCTCCAGACGGCGCAACTTTTGGTTCTGCTGATCATCATGCGTGATTTTTTGGCTGCCCCNNCCCCCCCCCCCCCCCCCCCCGTGAAGCGTTTTGAAGGGGATCTCAACAACGGCCAACTATGTGAAAAACATGCCCAACTGATTCACACAAGGAAATTGCATCGAACACAGTCCTTGAACGGGAGGGGCTGCCTCTGGTCACATGTTGCACACGTGGCACTTTATCCTGGTTTCTCATATGCTTGGAGCACGGCTAAGGGCGGTTGGCCCAAGAGCGTGGCAATCTGCAGGTGGATGTGATCACATTGAAGACTAAAATTAAACCAGGAGTGGCGGCGCCTTCTTCACTAGCAGGCCTTGACAAAGCAGTGACCTGAAGTGCGATACCTTAAAACCATTTCAGCTGGCAAGGCCGAGCATCCGGCCCCATGAATGAGCAGGCGGCTGCCTCAACTCATGATTGACTTGAATGAACAGCATTCTAATCCAGCGCAGCTGAATGAGGCGTACATCTGGCTGTAGCTCCCAGTCAGAAAGTCTTTCGAATACTGACCTGCCCACCAGGATACAACCCCTCCAAAATATCAAGCTCCAGGTGCATGGCACCTTGCGATGGCGAGGTCTCCAGCCTCGTTCCCCGCATTCCGATGTCACGCTTATACCCACACATGTGCACCAAGCCGGGAATGAAACGTCAATTTACTTGAGAACCATCGAACCAGCTATCGGACCCTAGTGGGCGAGGTACACTTCATGATTCATGATGCACACTCAGTCACAAAATGACTGCCGAGAACTGAAGCATCAGACTAATTCTACCAATCTCGCCATTTCCGCCCCGCCCCCTCCCTCAATCTGCAGAAGCTACATCTCTCCGTGAAATCGCACGACGCCCGCTTGCTCTTGGGGAAACAGCCTGCATGCGTAGCTCTTACCAGCAAGGCGACGCGCATGATTCAACTTTACCATTTGCCCAGCACCAGCCCACGAGGCCCGAACCCTTACACAGCCACGAAGGAGTGTGTTCACGAGGCCTAAGCAAGCACCAGGAGTCCGGTTTCGTTTTCTAAGACATAGCGGGGAATCCAAACACTCCATCATACTCCTTCTAAGGGTGCGGCGCAAGTCTGGCTTGACCTCGCGGTGAGCTGCAATGCAAACATTCGGCAAGACAGAAGTGCAACTGCCCTAACTTCCTCCGCGCAAAGTTTGTTGCTCTGGAGTGCTGCTGCGACAGTCCATCACATGCGATCCATTCCAACTGGTGGTGCCGTGACGTGGTTTGGCTGGATGGGACAGACCACGGGAACTACAAGGCACCGCCTGAGTCAAGATAGCGGGGAAAAGCGATGCAAAACGTCAGCACAGGTGCTGACTCGGCCAGCTATATCATAGAGGCACGGTAAAGCCAGTTCTCCGACGCTTCTCAACTGGTGCACTTGCTCAAGACTTGCGGAAGCAAAGTCTGGTGAATCCCCTACACTCTCTTGTCACTAGTTTGGGTGGTCTAGGTATGAGGCGAAGTGTCACAGCACCAGTTGAAGCGATATTCAAGCTGCAGCTGGCTTCACAGAGTGCGCGTGGAAAATGATCAGACCAAGTACCTGTGGCAGGGTGCGGCACTGTCTGGCAATCATGGGAATGAAGAGGCTGTGAATCCCTTGCGGCACCAGGATTTTGACAAGGAAGTTCATTCTCCAAACCAGCCTTGGCCATGTTTGCCCATGCTAAAGCTCGGACTTGAATGATCCGTCTCCACGAGCATGACAAGCACGACGTTCTACCGCTGAGCACAGCAGGGGATATGCTGCTGAGAAGCTCCAGGCCGAAAAAGAACAGAAACAAAGCGTGAATGCCCAATGTGGCCAGCACGCCTCGAGAAGCAAATGTTCTGCATTCTAAAACATGTCCGACGCATGAGTTCCAGTGCTGGCAATGTGCGCATCTAAGCTGACGGCGAAACTTGACTGGGCACTGGCTAAGTGGCACCTGAGGCACCTCCAGAAGAGCAAAGTATGAAGCTAAGCGCAAGCCGCATGACCTGCCTGCTCAAGGGTCTCCAACGGAATCAGCAAAGAGGCCGTCCTAGGCATCAGGATCACTCAAACATAATGCAAGACTCTGCAAGACATGTGCTTCACTGGCACTGCCAAGCTTCTGCCAGGCCAGAAGCCATGGCAAGCAAGCGAAATATGATCGGAAGAGAAAGGCATGGAGCATTGCCAGTGCCTGCATCGTAGTCGAGATCACGTGCTAGTCTTTTCAAGAAGCCCTGAGGCAGAGTCGCATTGCCAGCTTGACCGAGGATCCGACTAGCAAAATGTGCAGGTACTGCCTCAGGTGATGGCGCAAGCGACGGCTGAAGATGCATGTGGCAGGCCGTGGAGTAAGCCAGATGCGGCAAGTTTCCGCAGAGGTTAGCCAGTATCCTTCAGCAGATACATGATTTCTTAGACGATCACAAAAACTCGGTGTACATACCGTAGGCCCCAACCGGATGGTTTCAAGCCCATTAGACAACATGCGCTTCGGTCAGCATCCTCATTAAACACATCGAAGCACGTCCACATCTGCGGTTGGTTGTCCCTCATTTCTTGACGTCTTACCCACAGTTTCAGTGCAGGTCCTGTCCGACGAAGGATTTCCACGCTTTGCTTTCTTGGGGCCAAAATCCATCTCCAATTGGCTCAAGGCCTTCCACTGCTGCATCGCCTCCTCAGCCCCCAAAGTGCTGCACACAGATCGATTGAAAACATTGGCAGTTGGCAGGCTTTAGGTGGCAACCTCAAGCAATGCCGCTGCCGATACAACGATTCCAAATGTAGCAGTTTGGAACCACCCTAATTCATGCTCTACCTTTCGTGAATCTGATCTACTCTTTTGCTGCCAGTGAGACTCCCGATAGATCTACTGCATGATGACTGGCCTCACCCGTCTGGGGCTCTGCCAAGCCTAGACAGTTGTGCCACACCAGGCGGGCACCCAAGCTCGTGAAGATGGCTTCCGAGCCCTGACATGTCTCAACAGCTCAGAAAGTTCCCTCACACCCCAACTTGCAGATCCTCGCATAAGAATCCATTGTAATGTATTGGGAGTAATTGTTATTCGGAGGGTATGGGATCTCATGGTCAAGGGGGTTGAGTTACCTTGAGCATCTTCACGTGTAATTTGGCCTCGGGGGATGCGGTTGGCTCAGTTTCTGGGGAGTCCTCCAAGATGGAACACAAGAGAGACGGGCAACATATGGTCAGTTTGTGCCTGCGTGGAGATGTCACAAGCATGTACAACGCTGGACAGCTGCATGTCCTTCTCCGATTCTTCATTGCTTTTCTCGGGCTCTGCAGCCTACAAGATGACCAACTGTCATTCGCCGTATTTCAGTGCTGTGCAGCAATAAGGGGGATCAGAAAAAGACAGAAGAGCTGCTGGAATGAATGAATGCCGGCAGAGTAGTACGCATAGCCAATCTTTAAATGCAAATTACGGAGGGTACCGTTGCACCTTGCCGTTTTCTTTCAGCAAGTCTTGCAGCTTGGGGGCCTTGACTCAGCAGCAGGCATGTACTTCTTGAACGCACACAAGCACAGCGAGCAGCTGGGCAACAGGCATACGCCGCCACACAAGAACCCAAGAACAAAGCCTTGCCAAGCCTTGGTGAGATGATTTGGGATGCATAATTCGCCAATAATCGAAAATTTCAGCGCATAACAGTAGCAATCATGATCACATAAGAAGAGCAAGGAACTGCAGCAACAGCAGCAGCAGCAGCAGCAGCAGTACAACTGGTGCTGGCATGCGCATCTGCAATAACTATAACAGTAATTCCAGTTTTGTTGAGACGTGTGTCTGTTGACCATAGTAGCCACGCTGACCAATAGTCCAAAGCCAACAAAAAACACTTGTTGAAGCAACAGACTATGTCGCTGGTTGGGCATGTGGGTCTAAGCATGAAGCGCGGGATGTCACAGCCGAGCGCTTGCACGGCTAATTCCTAACAACCATCAAGCCAACCATATCGCAATGCTAATTACCGCAGGGAGCAATACGAATATCTGCACAACGCTCTCAACTGAGGCCCAACAGTATTCCCAAGAAACCCTGCACATACTCACCAAATCCACTGCAAACGGGACGTTCTCAAAATTGTCCCTTTTCTTAGAAACTTCTCTAAAACATCGAGGCTCACGAATGGCCCATCCCTTTTTTGCGAGACACCCCAAGCAGTTCACAGCCGCTTGCGAACCAGATGCCCGATCAGCTCCTCAAAGCTGCCAGTGGCCTTGGGTCCTGCAAGCTATCAGGACTTAGGCTGTCGGGCTCAGGGTTCAGGGTTTGAAACGTTTCTGGCCTCTCCTTTTTCTGCCCGTGCGTCTAGAAACCCATTCCGGGTACACCCTGACCGGGGTCTTTTCAGGTTTACTTACTGGTGCTTAGCAGGGAGTAAGGGGATACAATCCCCATATAATCTCCATAAAATATCTTGGAGTTTCCCAAAATTGAGGGTACCATTTTGGGGGCCCCCATAAAAAGGACTATATTATATTGGGGTCTACATTTGGATCCTGCTATTTTGGGAAACTACACTATTTCTATATACTCTACTAAGAACCAGTAAGTTATCATCACTCCTGTGCTTCCGGCTGTGGCTATCGGAACTATCACCATTAGTGCAACAATTGCTCATGTTGCACAATTTTGAACCCAAAATACTATAATCCCTACTATGTGACCCCGAATCTTGATTCCTAATTTTAGGAAAGCCACAAGTACTACCAAAAAATTGTTTGATTGCCCTGCAACTTGCGCAGAAGCTGCGGCTCCCGAAGCCACGGCGGAGGCGGCTTCATCAGCTCTAGCCTTCGGGAAGGCGGAAGCGGCACGAGGGGAAAAGGGTTTACCTTAGGTCATTCCCCTTACAATTACTACAAAAATACTAAGAGTTATAATAGCCTCGTAATAAAGCCCCTTCAAGGACAGCTTCTGTAATGGGGAATGACCCAAGGTTTACACAAATAGGGAACACGATGGAACAAGTCAAGAACTATATCGAAGCAGGGGCTGGGGCAAGGGACTACTCAAGGCCAACTACGGCCTGCTATCTTTAGTTAGGGTAGCCCTTTGCAAACAAGGCCCAATACTGACAATCAAAAAAAAACTGATCTTCGTGCTTGCTTGCGAGCTGGTATTTCCTCATCACACTTAACCACTTAACCATACAATGGCTGCACCCTTCCCAAACATAACTCCTCCTAGCATTGCATTTTTGCTCTGGTAGGATGCAGACGATGCAACGGACAGTCAAGAAGTTTATACTTCTGCGTTGGTCTTGCACTGAGCATTACCGAACAAATAACCCGGCGCTCTCCAAGCCAAACTCATAAAACTTTAAGGCATATGCTTCTCAGAGGGCCCCCGTTCCAGTATCTCTCCAGGACCTCAACTGCAAGGATTCAGCGACGTACTTTGCGCGAGCTACAGATTGGCAAGCATCGGTACGGGACAATGGGCCGGGCTGGTGCTGGAGGTGCGCCACATATCCAGGCAAAGTGGTTGAGGTTGAGCCCTGGTGGCAAACTTGCCTGGTGAAGAACCTATCTTGGATACTCGGGATGTGCATGACCAAAAAACTGCGCATCTGCCGATCCGCCTGCTCCTTTTTGGCAGCCTTCCTCCTGTCAATGCAGCTTGCAATCTAGGGAGGAATAAACCCTCACACAGTGGCTGCCAGCAGTCCTTTCGTTGCGCTGGGCGTTTTTTGACATCGGCTACGGTTGTTGCCGTGGCGCGCGGAGCGCTCTCCGTGCACGTCGATGTCAAGGTCTTGACTGCTAATGGCTTTGGACGCGAGGCACTCCATAGTATGGGAACCACGAGACCATGGCAACGACTCTCTCAGCTGGGACTTCCCCAGAAATCTCTTCAGGCTCTCGCCGGAGGGTCCTGGCCCAACATCTTCTCGAGGACCTCAGTGGCCCCAGACTACACCTAACAAATTCGCAAACCTGATTATCAGGACCTCCGGTTGAAATCTCCATTGGTTGGCAAGGTATACATGCAGCCAAAGGCTCAACCCCAGGCTCTGCTCAAGGCTCAAGAAGCCAAGGGACGGGATTTGAACAAGGCAGATTCCCCGTCTCATTGCTGCTCGCAGACTGGGCGACTGGCAGAATGTGCCCCTGGAATGTTGCCACATCGGCCTGGTTGCGCGGAGCAGGCCAAGAACTCGAAAGAACTAAGGAGCTGGCAGTAGCCCTTCAGCAACGCTGTGCAGACCTGGCGAATGAGCCGTAGGGATTATTCAGATAATAATATTGAAGTTAATATTCTTAATATCAGTAGTATTAATAATAAGAATATTAATATGACTAATGCACAGGCTTTGTCCACAGGCTGACAAGTCTGACAAGGTACCACGACATTGGACCGAAGGCCCGCTGCGAGCATTTGGGAAAAGGCAGAATCCTCAGTCTGCATACTCAAGCAGCGCAGACCGTACGATTCTGTCACTTAACGCATGCGGTTGGAATATGAGTAAGGCATCTCTTCTCAGCAGAATGATGTAATCCCTACCCATGCCTTGGTGCCCCTGCGGTTCCCCAACCCCAGTGTGTCGGAACAATCGCTACATAACCCCCACAACGCCGTAGACATCTTCCCACACTGCAAACGCGCTTGGAATCGGGCAGCGCCAGCCATGTCTCCGCCTTAGCGCTGTATTATAGGCCGTTACAAAGACGGGAGCTAATCAAGTTGGGGCCACCTTGTCAACCCTTCAAGGCAACACAAAGGGGGCCCTTTATGATCATCACACCCCAGTTTACAAGCTTCAATACTAGCAGAAATCCCGTTTTGTTTTCAAGCAAAGCGCGAGTACCAACTGCTGGAGTCTTCGCCTAACGCAGAGACATTTCAAAGTCCAGAACCATATCTGTACATCTGAATCAGACATACAATGGACAGCGAGGGGCGCAAAAGAAGCACCGGCAAAACACCAAAACCGCGAGACTTCTAAAAAGAATGGGTACAAAAAGAAAACACCAAATGCCAAACGCAACGACGACAAACCAGTGTAGCTTGTCTTAGTGCTGGGCTCAGCACGGGGACGCTTCGGAGATTGTAGGACACGCTGAGGTTGGCCACTCCACAAAAATTTTGGGGTTTGGCGTTGGAAGGGCACTCCGGGCTCGCGTACTCTGGAGACACTCTGCGAGTCTGCGAGTAGACAGTGGTTCGATCTGTATAGGCACACTGCGGGGTTGGACACCGACGTAGCGCTTGGGCACTCGAAGGAGATGGGGGACCATGCGAGGAGAAAATGTCTTTGAAAAACATCAAAAAAGCTCACAGCATGGGCGGGGAACAAAAACCTGAAAAAGAAATCCAACAAGACAATCATGCAAGCAAAGGCAAACAAGTTTCATTGTTACCCTCATCAGCGCAGCTGAGACACAAGAATTTATGGGGTTTACTTTTGTGTACTTTGTCATCATTCCAACAGGCAATTCGTAGATCTTCCTAGCACCGGACTGTTGACGTAAGCGTTGATGAGGCTCGCATAGGCTTGCACACCTCGAAAACTCAAAGCAGAGCAGATATGCCCACACACCATTCCGCTTCGAGTAAAAGTGCGTGTGATGGCTGAAGGCAGAACTCGGCACCAGTCCCTGCTTCTCGATCTGTCCAAAGGTTCGAACAGCCTGCAAAGGATGTCTTACGTTGGGGATCTCTCTCCTTGAGTTTGAATTGGCTCTGCAGTTACAAGTAAGGGCCAAGCATCATGGAGCCGTCGGCGCGAGGCAAAATCGGCAATCTTCCTGGACAAGCTGCAGCTGAGTGGGAGTGTTGCCACCTGGCATGTGACACAATCCCCGACCCACGCATCCCAACGTGCATGCAAATTCGCCGTCCTGATCAGTGGCTGAAGAGGATCTGAGCCTGAAATGCACAAAACTGAAAAGCAGCGCACAAAGGCAGGAGGGACCATGACTGCTCTGCTTCTGCGATCTCGAGGTGGACCTCTGGCCTCAAAGCGCTGGCCGTGCTGTGACCCAAACCGCTTTAATCTCAACTCATCTCTTACGCACCTCTGCCGGCCCCCGGCATCACGGCATCAACTTGTCAGCCTTTCTTGGGCCCCGGACCGGCAGACGGACTTTGGTCTGCAGCACCGTCATCTTCCTGGCGGAGCTGATGATGGGGTTGGCTGGTCTTTCGCGCTTGTACCCAAATCTGTCGAAGCTGCGGACTCGGAGAAGCCCCTGGACTCCATAGGCTCCGCATTGGCCTTCGCGAGTGTCCCAGCATCCTCGGAAGCTGATAAGCACTGCGCAGCTTTGAGACGCAAGCATCTGGCTCAGGTTCAGGCGGACGAAGTCCAAGGGTCAGCTTTCGCTTTGGCATGTGCTCCTTGCCTGGAAACAACGTGTAGTCTCAGTTGCTAGAGCCCATCATCAAGCAAGGCAAATGCATCCTGCGATGGCTCAGATTGCAAGGTCAAGCTCCACTGCGTGTAAATTAACTGCTGCAGTGGCCCTTGGGGCAAACTGCCAGAACGGCTTTCAAGCTACAGCATGGTGCCGCGCAACCTTGCCAGTTGCACGCTTCAGCTCAACATTGACAACTTCCATCCCAGGACGGGCAATGATGCCAGATCTGTCTTGCTGTGGCAAACATGCGTCAGCACCATTGCTTTCTAAAGACAAATCGCAGTGGGAAAGTGAAGCCCGGCGCTGCTTGCAAGCAAGATAGCTTGGATCTCCTTGTCATATTTAATGATGAACAGTGGAAAGTGAAAACTGCTGTTTAACAGAACAGTTTCTACTGCACTACTATCAACCCTGTCATTGTGGGGCTGGGACTGTGAAGTTGCAAACAGGCGTGGCCCGGCCACATGAGCAACACATCAACGCGCAGCGTTGCTCTGCTGCTCACGAAGAGCGGGGCACCTTGTGGCATCTCACGATCCTTGCTCTCATTCACCTGGAGTCTCTTAGCTCACATGAGCGCAAGACCATGGCAGAGTGGACAGCACAAATTCCCAGCCTGATGACGAACTAATTATGGATGCCTTCGGCATTTTCACAACCTCACCAGGAGTCGGCACTAAGCATAAAACACGAATATGGTCTGCAGGCCGGCTTGCATCATGTGTGCCTTCTTCTTTGCTTTAACTTTTGCTTTCTTCGCGGGTACCTGACCACGACACGAGCAATGTGCAAACTCAGGTTGTTCAGAGCCTGACATGTTGGCCTGGATTCCGTTTATGCGCTGCAGCTGCTGGGTCAAGTCCTCCAGCTTGCCATCTCAAAAGTCACAGCGCCGTGCCTACAAAACCCAGATCCCAGCCATATCCTTCAGGGATGCCTCCGTTTTTCGAAAGCGATCGTCGATTTTTACACGGACCTACGTGTAAGCCATCACTCCGGATGAAAAAATGCCTTTCGATGCCAGTTCGTGCCTGGGTCATTTGACCCTGGAGAATCTCTCTAGTCGGCAAGCCTTGGCTCGAGGGGCTCGTCTCGGCAAGTGGCCACCCTCTGCACTAGCACTGCAAATATCATGCGGTCAAGTCACCGCTCGATAGGGAGCCCTGAAACAACAAGCTAACTTGCTTGTCTATTCGCTCCAGGCCCTTCGTCAATATGACCTTGGCAGGAGGATGCTGTCAGAAAAGCGCTGGAATGGCGATCATTACAAAAATAGCTCAAAGCTGGTTGGCCACAGATCTGCAAGACATTGCAGCCAAAGTACCATGTCTTTGGCAGTTGCAAGGCCGGAGAGGGACTGCATACCGCCCATAAATTCATCCTTGCATGTCCAGCACAGCGCTCCTGTGTAAGAGCTTCCTCATGTGAATGCAATCACATGCATCATTGTATTGCTTCTTACAGGACTTCCTGCTATGAACAGAAGACGGTTGAGTGATGATAAACTCTATCAGGTCCTATAAATATTTTGCCCTATTCCATCAGACCAGTTGCCAGGCTCAGCTCGCCCTCACCATCCTTGCCATGAAAACATGAGATGCAATGCAGACAGAGCTTACGGGGCTTCTGCAAGGGCTTCTCTGCTTCGCAGCAAACAGAGAGCCCCCTACAGCTGAGATACCAGGCGACGGGCAACTAACGATCATCCGAGGCTCGGTGTCCAGGAGAGTGAAAAGTTGCAGTAAAGCATCTTCGGAAAGTCCCATGACGATGAGCTTGTTACGCACAGTCTGCAAACAAGTTTTTTGGCCAGATGCTTGGAGACTGAAAAAGTCTGGTGCGAAGCTAGGGCGTGAAACCAGCGGGACCAGGCAGGGACTGAGGCTTGCGTGGCCTCTATGGTGAAGGCGTTCTGGAATTCATCCAACGTGACCTCTCCCAAGAAAATCCAAACCACACCTTCTCTGCAGAGCCAGTACGTGCCCAGCCTGCCCACTGCCATCCTCGTCGAGCTCCACGAACATGTCCTAAAACAATCCACGTCAGAAGTCTCCCCGCAGCTTGGGATTTCAACCTTCAGCCCCTATCCGTGTACATCCGTGCACTGTGTGTCCCATCCTTGAACTCGCGCATCTCCTGTTCTTTCTGCAGCTTCAGCCTGAGCTCAAATGCCAGATGAATACGGCACCCATTTTGTAGAATTTCAGCCAGGTGCTACTTGAAGAAAGAAAACGTAGATGAACACCTTAGCCCTAAGATCTCTCGGATTCAGACAGGTTGCTGCCTGGCAAGATCTGCTTCATCTGCCTTTGATGTCTCAAAGGCCTCATTGCAGATGATGGCGGTGACCAGGTTCAGCAGCACCTGGAGGTTCTCACTCTCGCCACATGATCACTTTGCTGCTCTATCAAGGCACAGCAGCCCTCTAAGGAAGGAGCGAAAGATGCACAAGCTGCAAACGTCCAGAGAAATATCCTTAGCTCATGTTCCAAAGAACATCTGAAAATCGGGCAGGACTTCAAGTTTCCATCTTTTTTTTCGGAGGACAAAAGCCATACCAGCCCAGTCACCATATGTACGGCTGCTGCAAGGTCAGCTCATCCATGATGCCTTGCGCGTCATCACCGTGCATAAACCTGCCAGGCCAAACCAAAACGGTGTGAATGCGTTCTCCCAACCATTACCGTGGCTGCTCGTTTTGTTCCTGTTTAGGATCCACCCCCATCTGGACCCTTGATCTCAAGGCACCTCATTCAACTTCCTTTTGCCAAATTGAGCCCGGAATACACTTTCCATGAAATGACAACAAACATTATAAAAAGCACTGAAATGCTATGAGTGCATCATCACTATCAGCAACTTTCCAGGGAGCTTCGAAAATTACAAGCCAAGGCTAAGACCTCGAAACCCTGAACTTTAGACCCCGAATCCTAAACCCTAAGCCCTAAACTTGAATCCCCTACGTCCTGGAACACCCATACCTTTTTCCGGAGGCACTAACACCTTAAAACCCTCAACCCTAATCATAACACCCTAACCCTTAAGCCTCCGAACCCTTAACCCAAGAGCCTTGAACCCCAAGCCCTCACGTGCTGCACCTGGTTAGCGTCAGCATGGCCAACCAAAGGCCTGATGGTGGATGCAGGCTAGATTGTGTGGTCTTGGGACTCGTGCTTGGATTTAGGGTTACATTAACTCGCGGAGTTTGGCGCCAAGACTTTTGGGGGGGTGAAATTATAGGAGCTGAGGTTTTCTTTGGAGCCCCTTCTCGCTACAGTGTGCAGTACGAGATCTGTCCGGGTCGGGGCTTCTTGGATATAGGGCAAGGGAAACAAACCTTTATCTATGTGGTGCAATGTACTGACTGCTGAGCTGCTAAGAATCAAACTTCTGACAGACGTAAACATATATATATATATACATATGTACATGATATTCAGTCACCAAAAGTTGCATTTATATTTAAACTTTGGCACCCTCCCGGAGATCTACCATTTCAGTAGTCAGACAACGTCCTAAAACCATGCTTATGTGAAGTGGGCCTTGCACCGTCCCTAAGAATATGGAATAGAAATTCCTAATCCATGCTCTTGATCCATAAAACCCTCTAGGGCTAGTGCATTTTTATGCTAAATTAGTGGCCTTTAGAATTAGAGGCCCTTGATTTTTGATTGGACAGCAAATTGTCTTTAATTACGTTGTAAGGGATTTTCAATAAAATGTACTTGCTTTCCTTAGAACTCATAGGTTTGAAATAGCTTTGCTTTGAATGTAGATGGTCTTAATTTTAGGTTTCAATCAGTTTCGGATAGGTTTCTATGAACTTCAAATAGATCCCAAGTACAACAAGGAGGCCAAACTAATGGCCCTGAATACATTTGCTATAGTTCTAGGCGGTTTCCCAGTAATCTAGAGAAAGATCCTCTCATGCAAGGTCCATAAGGGGTAGCTCCGGAAGCAGTGTCTGAGCCCCTACGGAATTCTAGCAAGCAGTTCAGGTCTCAGCATCAGGATTCGTCAGGGTCTGGAAAACGTCGATTTCTTATTGAACCGCTTAGTCAAGAAGGCCAGGAAATATTTTTGCAAAGGAGTCGTACAGCAGCTCGCTGGATCCTCGATAAGAAGAATGTTGCGGGGCTGCTGGTCTATCCGCAAGTGTAGGGATGCTCAGAGCATCCCCGACCCTTCTCCTGTTGAGTTGGTTTGTGAGCAGGTAGTGAATCCGCAACCTTTCTCCCCCAAGTGCTTCAATTTAACACTGCAACCCAGGTTTGTTTGGGAGGTCCCCCGTCCCCAAAGGAAGCCTGAAAAGTTCTCCTCATGTGAGATTTTGGGGTCAGCACCACACTTGTTCTATGCCAGCCTGCTTATTAGGATTTGTGTACGGGAAGCTCTTATCGAATCCTTATGATGGGGATCCTTATGAGAAAAATCTTTAGTTGCGGGCTTCCGCGAACAAGACGGTCAAGAATCTGGCAGCTTCCCCAAGAAAATAACTTCACCCAAATGTTGAATAATCAAGGACCTGAAATCCTGAGATATTACTTGTTTAAGGGCAAGCCTACGTGGCTTTTGAAAAGCCCAAATGAATCCAGCCGAATATTGAAGCACAGGGGGGTTCTAAGGAATCAACGGGACCAGGGATCTCCTTGACTTCCTGTGCTTTGTATTGGTTTTGGATTGTTTTCATACAGGAATTCATGAGTATGGCTGAACCGTCACCACAGACATCCATGCTTCTGGTGCCCTCGTCGTGCTAGCAGGACAGGATCACCACCATCCCGTGATTGAGCGAGGAAAACTACATCATGGAATGAGAGACGGTCTTCATTCCTGGGTTTATTGCCTCTCAATGGTTTTATGAAAGAATCCATTCCAACAAACTAAAGAACATCTCGCGGGAATTAGAGACCCCCCCATTTACTATATTGATGTTGTTTCGGACTTTATGAGGAAGCCTATGTAAAGAGTTTGAAGACAATCTGGGTCAAGATCTATGCACAATAGCCCAATCATGCATGCTGCATTAAGGCCCCACCCATTACCAAGCAAATTTTGAGAGACATAGAACCGTGGGAAGGTCCTATGTACCTAAATAGTAGTTTCCATTTTCTTTTCCATTATCCCAATATAATCCCAATATGGATAATAGGGTAATATAGGGTACTATAGTAGTTTCCATTTTCTTTTCCATTATCCTAATATAGTGTTTAACCTCTTCAGGTGCCCACGTTTCAGCTCCAGACAGCTCATTGGGCATCCAAATGAAGAGCCATGTGAACAATATTGCAACGTCAAATATGGTCGTAGCTACACGCGCAACAGCCCTGCAGAGCGACCCGAAGTGTACAGGATCATCCATTTATAGTACTTCCATATGAAATTTATTGGGCAAAATGATTTTCTTGGAAACACCTGAGTACTTCTGGCCTAGAAGTACTTAGACATTAACTATTACAACCCAAGCTAACATGCGTTCAAATGTGCCATCCAGCTTGGACTGAAAGGTTCTTGCACCTTTCTCAACATAAGCCGCTGCCATATCCCGCAAGATTACCGCAGCCTCTACAAAGCTTCTATGGCTGAAGGCCCGATTCCTGGGCCCTGGCCGAAGAAGCGCGACTGGGCAACCTTCGAATCCTTGGCATGGCTTACTCAAAGATGCCTTCTCAAACAATTGCACAAGAAAAGGCATGCAATCCCCAGACATAATCCAAGGATCTCTATGGTAAACTAACTACAATTCCCCCTACAACAATCCTTCCTGTAGCCCGGTGAGTCTGCAATCCACAGGGATCTATCGAATGATCCGCCTACGCCCCTACTATCTGAGGGCAAGACTTCCTCGGCGTCGCTGTAATCGGCTCTGGCGATCAAGTCCACAGCAGCAATGCCAAAAACAAACCTGAGATGAACAATGATAATGACAAGAGCCAGGATACTACGAATGATACTCACTAAAGCTCCCACCAGCATGACAAGAAGAAACAAAGTACAGTAGAAACCATTTGACTTTTGTGATAGTGAACATGAGCATGAGAAGTCTGGCTGTCCAGGAATCAGAGCAGTCAGGGAGCAAAGTGAAAACGATCAGAACCATGGCGGATGCCAAAGTGCCTTCATGCATAGGCCAGCATTTGAGTCCAGTCTCTGGGATTCTGTCGTAGCTTACTCATGAGATGCTAAAGGCAATTCCTTTAGGTAGCGAAAGGAAATACTTCGAAAAGGATCCCCCTTCAAATTTCCAGGCGACGCTACCCCCGCCTCTCATAACCCAGGCGTGCTTTCACTACGAAACTTGGGTAGCCGTTTTGATCTATGGATCGGGGGTTGAAGCCTTTCTATAATCTGTGAATGGAGCGGGCAGCCGCTAACGCGTTCGGGAGGTTACCCTTTGCATCCTGAGGAAGCCTACAACACGGAGGCGGGTAGCCTCGTCTTTATGACACGGCTTTCCTGCGAGGCGTCTTAATGGGAACACCCTACCCATGACTGCGAGAGGTCTTACATGTTCAAAGGGGGCGGACACGTGAAAGACTTTTGTAATAAATTCAGCGTGTTGATATGCAATAGGCGACGTGGGGTCTCAATGAAACCGCGAAATGGATGGCCGGCGTCTCTACGGGGGGGACCAGCCACTAGCCACTGTTGCTTCTCTGGCAATGCTTTGTGCTTTTGTCCTGAAGCAAACTCGGGTTTAAGAAAAGCCCTACCAGAGCTATGATTCTCAGCGATTATGGAGGCGTCAGCCCACCCCCCGGTTTCATGGACAAAATTGGAAGGTGTATGACGCAGGTTTCCGCAAGGGCCTCACTTGAGGGACGAGCCGAGGCCAACGAACTCTATCCAGGCTTAAGCCTTAAGCACTGGAGTACGCGGGGAGGAGGGAAGGTGCATGTCAGCAAGAGCCTCTGTAAGGCGCATCGAAAACCTCGCCCAAAACCTCGCCAAGGGGCCTCTCAAACTTCTGCGCGCACTCCACTCTCCATCACCAGACTCCACTCTCCAGTCTCAATGTTACGCTCCACTTTCTACTCCACTTCCCAAACAACTTTCCATCCCACTTTCCACACCACTGCCCACTCCATTTTCCACTCTACAGTCCACTCCACTCCCCGCTCCGCTCGATACACCACTCGCCACTCCACCTCCCCCTCGGCTTTCCCGAGTGGAAGGTGGAGGGGGGCGGTGAGTGTTCAGAGTGAAGTGGAGGGTGGAGTGCAGAGTGGGTGCATACTCCATTCTCCGCACTTCACTCCACTCTCTCCTTCTCCATTCTCGACTTCCAACTCCACTCTCCACTCCACTCTTCAAGGCACTTCCCGCTCAACTTTCCACTCCACTTTCTCCACCACTTGACTCTCCATTTCACTGTCCTATCCTATCCACTTTCCATTCCACTTTCCATTCCACTTTCCATTCGACTCCTCCATCCTTGAGCGCGCTTTCCACCACTCTCCACTTTCCACACCCAACTCTCCTATCCACTCTTCCCACTCCATCTCTCCTCTCCTATTTCCAAGCCACTCTCCCCTCCATTCTCCACTGCACTCTGAACCACGCTCTTGGCTCCACTTGTCACTCCATCTCTTCAGGTCCACTGCCCATTCCATTCCACACGCCACTCTCCATTCCACTCTCGACTGCTCTCCACCCCACTCTCCAGCTCCCTCTCGACTCCACTTTCGTTTTTCCACTCCATTCCTTTCCACTGCACAATGGCGACCCTGGCCTGGACCCTGCGAAGGTCCAAAAGCCAGGACAGTTGCAAGGATGGCGACCCCGACGGTCCCCATCCCGACCACGGCAAAGCCATCAGCGAGATTGGCGGCCCCGAGCGGCACTGTTGACACGCAATGAGGTCCAAAAGTAATGACAGTCATGAAGATGGCGACAGCAGGGGCGCGACCCTCGCGAACCCTCGCAAGCGTGTGCGAACGTTTGCGAGGGTTTGCGGATTCGCTGCGCATGCTTGCGGACGCGAGCAGTTCAATGCAAGCACCATGCATGATGTTACCCGCTCCATGACCACAACAGAGTAGGGAAATGTGCTGCAACCACTGAGCAGGATGGTACTCATACAACTTCCACGTCAAGAAAGTGAAAACTAGGAAAGTACATGCAGTAGGAGGAGGGCCAGATGCAACGACCAGGTGTGATGTGTTTGGTGCTATCATCAGGCAAGGGCACGCACCAAAAGACCATGAGTAGGGCGCTTCAATGCAACCACGGAGCGCAATGTCATGCGTATCATGACCATGCGTGGGCAGGTGAACACAGGTCTTAATGAAGCATGAGGTTGCTTGTACCAAGACAAGGCAATGGTATTGAACCCACAAAGGAGGGAGAGGTTCAATGCAACCACCCAGCACGATGATACCTGTAGGGTAGCGGTTTGGCGCAACGACCAGCATGGTTTGTATCACGACTTTGCAAACCTTGTGACAAAATTAAAGCTGCGGAGCGGCAGGGGGGTTTGATGAAAAGACACCCGCATCATGTTATTTCGTATCATGACCTTGCGGGGGAGGGACATGGCACACTAGGGGACATGCCACACTACAGAGCAAGTATGGAGGTTTGATGCGACCACCTGCCACTTGCACCACGACCATGCATTGATTGGTAGACCACCAAAAACAACACCCGTAGTACCATGAGCATGACAGGGCAGTGAGCACCGCAGAAAGAATAGGGAGGATTGATGCTGCAGGATGATCTTATCATGACTGCTCACGGGCACTGCAAAGGACAGCAAGACTCAGGAGTTCCGATGCAACAACCAAGCACAAGGATATGCGTAGATGAACGCATAAAACACTACAGAAGGCATAGAGACTGTTGTTCAAGTCAAGACACCAAGCGTGATTTTGCTCGTGCCGTGGCCAAGCAAATACAATTGGCGGTGTTCGCGCAAATAAGTCAAGTAACCAATGGGGGAGCACATTGAATTCACGAGCAGACCCCCTCCCAAACCCATTCCTGTGTTTGCACGCACAATGATCTTGCAGTGGGAGTAGTGACCACTACGTACGGAGTCCAGAGATTTGATGCAACCACCAGGAGGATTCGATTTGATTCATGATTTTGCCAGGGCAAGGAACACTATGGAGGGGCTATGGAAGCACCTCGGTCATGAAGGACTGCTACAGAGGGAAATAGAGAAAGTTGACGCAACACCGAGTAGGGCGTTGCTCGTAACATGGCCACACAAGGGTAGCGAAAACTAAGAGTGAGGAGGGAGGTTTGGTGCAACCACCCATTATGTTGTTCCCGGATCATGACCTTAGGAGGATAGTGAACAATGGAAGAAAGAATGAGGCTTGATGCAAGCACCAGCATGACATTAACCTTGCAAGGGTAGGGAACACAGCAGAAAAAAGTAAGGAGGTTCCATGCAACAACCAGGCAGAATGTTCTTCGTACCATAAAACAGGACAGGGAGAATAGGGAAGCTTGACACGCCAGACGATACGAGGACAGAAAACACTGCAGACGAGAAGGGTAGCCTCATGCAACAACCCAGCAAGATGATTTTTGTACCATGACCAACACAGGTACGAACCACTGAAGTAATAGGGAGGCTTGATGCACCACAGGCAGCGCGTCAAAGCATAGAAAGGACGCGTGCAACAACAAGCATGGTGTAGCTCTCATAGCATGACCACACAAAGGAAGTGAAAACCACGAAAGAAGAAGGGAATACAACCACCAAGCTGGCTGTTACGCACACTATATGAACATGCAAGGGTACAGAAAGATTAGGAAGATTTGATGCAACTACCGAGCATGAGGCTACTCGTACGATTGCTACACAACAATGATCTTATTCCTAAGGGTCGTATCCCGGATAGTGCCACATTCGAAAGGATCACCTTCGACCCCCCATCCAAATCCACCGCACACGCTATGATATATCACATGCTTCGCAGCTTTCCAAGCCTTGAGTGCTACTACTGCTACAGCAGAAACTAAACTCAAGACTAGCTCCGCTAGCTTTCGTAACAAGCCCTCAGGAATCATAAGCTCAGCATGCGTCCCAGATGCCCCCACTTTTCAGAAGCCCTCGAACTAGCTGCCAGAGATCTTGCATCATTGGCACGCTCCTTTCAGTAGATGCTCCGGTTCCGGGTTTGAAGGTGTGCAAGACCAGAAAGACCGTGTAAAGACACGACAAGCAAATTAAAAGCCAAGGATCCGGAAGACTTTAACCTGGCAAAGAAGCACAGGCACGCATGCCAAAACACCTGCAAACTACCATGAAACAGCAGCCGTGGAAAGTCATCGCGTAGCGCTCCCAACCAGGTGGCTAATCGCAGTAAGCGAAGCATGCGCACGATTCGAATCGTCTTCCTTGGCTAGCACCAGTAGCAATGCAACTTGGCACTGGGTGTGACACCCCTCATGTTCACCCAGCTCAGCTGCAGGAAGTCGGACGAATCTGCGAAAATTGGCTGCAAGAACCATACCGTGAGCACGCCAGGCACCCAGACCTCAGCACTTCCACAGCATTATCACTCGTACTGGAAGGCTAATCTCACAATGCAGCTGAATCGCAATGAATGTGTCCAGTAGGTTCTCCATGGACCGGAACCACGGCAGTCCATAAATTGTGACGCGGCTGAGCCACTCCTGGGGCCGTACAGTTCAGCCACTGGGAAGATCAGACACTAAGGCCATGCACGGGGCTGCTTCAGCTGGCTGCTGCCCAAGAGTCTTGGAGGAAGAAAGCTGTGAGGAAGCTTTCGGAAAAGTTGATGAGCATAGGCAAATCTGCTTGGTCAACCTTCATTCTTGCCGCAGGTGTAGACGGGTTGCTTAACTTACGCCTTCAGGCGAGCACGCAGCCTCCAGTGTCATGATGACAGTGCTGTAGATTATGACCAGGCCAATGCCGAGCTCAAAAATGTTTGACTCCACCTCTGCTCGAACTCATAGTAATAATAAAAGCAATCGTAAAAGTAGACATAGAGGTAATTTGTGTTTGCAAGCTGGAGTGGGAGATACAGTGACCGAGTTGCTGCGGACTTAGTGCTGTCTGGGCACGAATGGCAACAGAAGGTCTTCAAACCTCCTTGGAATACATCGGCCATTCACTCACTGGCGCGTAGCAGGGAATTAAGGAATATCATACATTCCCTCATGCCCTCATACGCTTCAGTAACTTCAGGTATGGGGCTTTGAGGAAAGGATCGAGCCAAGCTTCAGGGTATCGGTGGCAGGGGACCTAGCGGTGGCGCCACCGCCTTGCGATTGAAATCGAACTTGCCTCAGTCATGCTTTGATGGGGCAGGCGTGGAGACATTGACAAGGAGGTCCTGACTCCTGACAAGCAGGTCCTGGCTGTTCCTGCTACCCTTCAGCCAGCCAGTGTATCATGTCTTCGTGCTGCGTGCTGGCAAGCTGCCGAACCCGCTCCTGCTTTATGGTCTGCCGGGCTTTCGCAACACGCTCCTTCTGCAGTTGCCTCTGATCGATCTCCTGGACAAAGATCGCTCCCCTTACCTCTCGCTGACCTTGACATCGTTCAACAGACTCTGCAGATCACTGATCTGCTGAGGCTCCTGTAAAGCAGCGCCCACCAGGCTAGCTCGCTCGACATCCTTCCTTAGGTCTACAGTCTACAGTTTTACGAGCTTTCACCTTCATGCGCTCCGAAAGGGTTGCCTCTCGCTCGCTCGTCTTCCATCAGCTGGCGGCGCAGCATCCGGCCTGACCAGGCTTGCAACATTGGTGAGGCGGCCGGACCGGTGTGCCATCAACGGATGGTTCAAAAATTCTGGGCTGCTGGCTCAAGCATGGGAGCGATGTCCGCTGAGCACTTGAGAAGAGCAGCTCCGGGGAACTGGGGAACTTGTGCATGCGGACAGCGAAAACCACTTGCTCTTATCAAAGAGATGACGACGTGAATGAAAACTGGTATCAAGACAAGTTCACCCAGAAAATGTTTGTTCAGCATTGCTGACCCGCCAAGGCCTGTTTCCTCGTCTACGCTTGGGAACCTGAGATATGCTAACATCTTCTTTTCGCGCAAGCTTTGTTCTCCTCTAGTGGAGTGGCTCTCAAGTTCTCAGGTCAGGACTGAACCCATGGCAGCCGCAAAGCCTTCCCAACGCTTCAGGCAGGACTCTGCACCTTGGCACTCTGATCCCCTCTAACTCCTGCTATCTGCCACCCCTTTGCTTTGCAGAGCCCACTGAGACTTCAACTTGACCGAGTCGCCAGAGTAACCATAGCTTGGCCTTCATCTTTCACATAGATACTATTTCAAAAAATATGGGGAGCTCACGTCAGAACCAGCTTGGCAGAGTAAACAGGCAGTTACCTGCTTCTGCATCAAGTCGCAGCGAAGAAGGCTCCTCAAGCGGCGAACCGATCCCCCCTTTAATTCCATGCAACGAGGAACATATCAGACTCAGCACCACGCCACTTCGTCACCAAGGAAGGCTCGGAGGCTCTTGGCACCTCACTTGCTCACTTGCCCCATACGTCAAGGTAGCCCTGCAAGAAGACCCAAACGCGGAGAATCTTCAAGCAAACGCCGCCTAAATCGGATCGAGAACAGTGAATGGTGTGACGTGCACCCCATCTGATCCATATGCACATTGTTCACCTCAGCCTCTTGGCCAACAGGCGACTGGAACAAGCTCACCAGGATCCAGCCTTATCCCTCTCTCCCTACCGTCTCCCCTACCCCAAACTCTTGCGGCTCATCCCCCAACCCCTCAAGCCGGCGCCCTCCCCCCAGCCTAAACCCCAAGCCTTGCCAGACATGATTGTTTTGCGATGTCTTGCAGCCCATCTGCCGAGGCGGACGCGCGCTAGCGCCTATAATTAACAGAAAACGTATTTCTCACTGGGTGGAATATGGCCTGCTTTTGTGCTAGCAGTCACCTGTTTATTGGAGCGAGGCTTGGCAATTGTTTTGTGGGGCGGCGCATGACCGTACAAGAGCTGTGGCTCAAGCTTGTACCACTTGGTAGATCAGCCAGCCGCACCTGATCTCAAAGCTGGCTATTGGCGCATCTCTGTCACCAAGGGTACACAAGCCTAAGCGAGCACGTGAGTTCAGAACAAGGCGAGAGGCAAGTGTCAGCTAGCTCAAGCATGCAGGAACCCATCCCTAACCCCGAGACCATCACTGCATATGTTCTATTTTGTAAAAAGCATGGGTGACGCCTCCCAGCGTCCGTCTGCTGCTTCCTGCATGATGCTCCCATGCCTTGGAGAAGCAGCACTGGAACCAAGCTTCCCGCACAAAACCAAGGTTAAGTACCCTGCATGGCTTTCTCAGACAGGCTTGCACCAGCTTCATCTACAGCCTTCACCCATCTGTGGTGTCTCGTGTGTCGGGTGTCTCTAAGGATCGCAATGCAATGGGATGCGCCTCATGGCGGCGTGCCTTTTTTGTGCTTCTGGCCTAGGAGCTGTCCCTATCCATGCCTGCACAGAAGTTTGCTAATTATTGTGCTTGCAGCTCAGTTTGACGCCGGTTGGATCTGGGGAACAAGCTCCAGGTCTCCATGCCTGCACCAATGGAAAGTCTGCTCCCTCCTGTGAACATTCTGATGGAGCGTAATCTGCCCATGATCTGCTAGCACGTGCATGGAAAAGACTAAATACAGTCCGACTGTACCACACCAAAAATATGTGCACATAGAGCAGTTTCCATTTCGTGTTCCATTTCAATGTCTTGTCCATGTGATTCTCCATTATTGGCTGAAAGATCCTTGAACACTAATTATCCCCTTGAACGAGACTCCGGTTGAAGAGCAGAAGCCTGGCGGATAGCGCTTGCAGCTTGCGCTTGGCGCGCATCCCTCAACTCGCCCTTGGGCCCTTTGGGCCCTTTGGGCCCTTGGCCCATGGCAAGATTGGAGCCTGAACACTTGATACGATGGGCGTGGTTATTCATGCTTGCTGGCAAAGGCCCTAGTGGAAATGTGGAGGGGGCGACACCAAGAAAGCATGTCCACAAAGCATTCCCAACTGCCCTCTGCAAATAGCTGCTGAAAACTGGCGCGGGTGGGTTTCCGATGGACTGAAGCACGTCTATAACTGCGCTGCCCAGCTTTGTTCGAGTGAATGATACATACATGGGTGGCGAATACTTGACTTACTTGATGAGAAAAAATCTCATCCATGGAACCTACATGACAAAAGCCCGCATAGCGGTCCAGGCGTCAACTTTCAAAACAACAAGTAAGCGCCAAAAGCTGGTAATCAGAGTTACCCATGCTGACTGACAGCTGCAAAGATGCTCATAGGGGTGACCTGTCATACTACCATTTCTTCAAATTTGCATTCCTCTGCAAGTCACACACACTCCCAAACATTTGCATGGCCGTCAAGGGCCACGAGTGCCCACCACGTCAGTTGACCGTGAGCTTAGAAAGGCTTAACAAGGCGGCAGCTCCAACAGAAACACGAGTGTGCGTGGGTAATACGAACTTGCTCGAAGCTACCGCGTGAACCTGTTCTCTTGGAGACGGGTGAAACTCGCATGTGTAGCTTCAAGCGCTTGGCATTCAAGCTGGTTTAGGGGTGCTCTGGACAGTAACATCCTTTATCTTCAGGATCAGCATGTGGCGGCAGAAGCTCAAAGATTGTGGAAATGCCCCGTATTTGGGCCTCACACATTAGAGTCGCTAAACGTTGCTCGTTCATTGTTGGCCGCTTGCTGCAGCTCGGAGATGTGTGAATCTCTTGCATGTTCATCGCAAGCTACAGGCCGCAAGAATAACAGCAAGCGTACAAAGCACTGAAAAATCTCTCGCGGCATTCCGATCACCTGAAGTCCATGTAGGACTTTCGAACCTCAGCAGGAAAAGCTACGATCACATGCAAAGGTCACGTTTCCTCTTCGCTTAGACGAGGTATGGACAGCTGGGGTTTGGAGGGGAAGGCCTCACCTCGCATCTCCGCAATCTAGCCAACCATCCCTACAACCCCATATGCCTTCATGATCCCTGAGGCCTGAGGTTGAGCGTGCCCAAGCCTATCTGCGCGTTTTGCAAGTCAGCATGGTAATCGGGCTGCTCATCACTTTTTTGTCTGCAAAGTCCAGCCCTCAGGCAGGTGTCGATCTACGCAAGAGAGAAGTTATGCAACTATGGCTTTCAGGCATCTACAAGAAACGTCATATCAAGACGGCATGCTTGCAGCCTGGCAGAGCCAAGGGAATTTCGTTTGTAGCTGAGCATAGGTGGACAGCAAGATGAGTCTCTTTGTCTTCTTGGACCTGAAGCTCAAGCTTGGCCATGGCATTGAGAATGAACTTACGGAAGCTACTTTTTGAGATAACACCCTCTTCGTTGGCCTGTGCCTGCATCGCCACATGGCATGCCATCTCTTGTCCCAGAACCTGGCTTAAGTCATCCAGCGAAATTTGGCCCGTGCCGCGCAAGTCAAAGAAGTTGAAAAGCTCCTCAACGCTCTTCTCCGATGTGATCTGCGCTGGTTTCAGGGTCGCCGCCAACCAGTCGGTGTACTGGATTTTCTGATCCATGTCTGGGTCCAGAGCTCGCAGCACGGCATCCTCCTCATAGCTTTCTAGATGCATTCCCGCGCCCAAGAGGGCACGAAGAAAGTCCTCTCGAGTGATCCAACCAGAGTTTGACGAGTCCAGGGCCGCAAAAACCGAAGCTTGGTCCTCTACGTCCTTGCCATTTGCCTCATGCGCGGCTACTGTCAGGATTGCCCGCTCAAAGCGAGAGAACTTTGAGAAGGAAAGGATGCGCTCGACAAGGGTCTTCACTTTTCCGGGAAGGTGCGGCATCCGAGGCGACTCAGAACTGTCACTCTCCGCATCACTGACATACTCAGGCGGCTGCAGCCAGGGCTGCAGGAGCGCCTCTGCTGCACTCAGGCGATTCAATGGCTCCTTAGCCAGTAGCAACTTCACGAGTCGCTCTGCCTCCTCATCCACCTCCGCGGCCTTCAAATACGACGCACGGAGTGGGCCCCGAGTAATGCGCTGGAAAGCATCTTCAACCCCTGAGGCGGAACTGCAAAAGGGATGCTCATTGGTCAGGACAAAGAAAATCATAACCCCGAGGGACCACAGGTCACACTCAAGGCCATAGCTGTACAAAGGATCCTGACTTTTCAGAACTTCCGGAGCGAGAAAATACAAGGTGCCGACAACTTCGTTCATCCAAGTGCTCGCTGTGCTTCCAGCAAGGGGCTTCATGCCAGCAAGGCCAAAGTCGATGACCTTCGCCATCCGCCCGAACCGTCTGCCCTGGCATTCTGTGAGCAAGCAGTTTTCAAACTTCAGGTCTCTGTGCGCGATACCTTCTGAGTGGCAATATGCTACTGCTCGCGTGACATCCCGAAACAAAAGTCGAATCTCATCGATGTCATCCACTTGTGGATCTAACTCCCCCAGATTGCCGCCTGTACATAACTCGGTGACCACGTAGATGGCTTTGCGGTCTTCAAAATACTCATAAAGCTTTGCAATGTTGGGGTGGTCCAGTTGCAGCAGCGCACACACTTCGTTCAAGATCCTCTGCAGCTCCTCAAGTTCGGAAGGCTTGCGGATGATCTTAATTGCTCGGGTCTCTCCGGTCAAGTTGTGTTCCATTCGGAAGACTTGCCCGAAACCCCCTGCACCAAGTGGAACAGCGGAATGGTAACATTTGCTGAGGCGTCGAGAAGGATCTGGGCACAGGAGCAGCGTGTGGATATCCTGCGTGTTGCCGCGGTCCCTCAAGATCCGCCTCTTTATTGCTTGCGACAGGAACTGTGAAGGCCGGCGGCTGCCGCCCCGTGGGCTTCGTAAAAGCTGAAACACCTTGTCTGGGCAGCAGCAGGACGCAGTCATGGCGGGCACGCAAAGAGAAAGCTCCGGCACCACCGTGTCCTTGCTGTCAAATCTGTCAACAAGCTACCTGTACCAGGCTCTTTGGCCAGCCATCCTGGCTCGAGCCCAGCATCTGCGCGTCACAGCCTGGAAGTTACTCAAAAGTATTGTGCAGTGACATCGTGAGAGTGCCTGTGCGTGTCGGGTTACTGTTTGGCCACTGACTATGCAGATCTGATGCGCCTTGAGAAACTTCACGCATTCTGTCAGCCTCTTCGAGGCTTGATTGGAACTGCAGGTGTCTCCTATAACAGAGGACCGCGACCAATTCCGCTGCATGCACTGCCGCGTGAACTCCGATTTAAGAGCTGCGTGGGAGCACATGGCTCCAGCGCAAATTGGCGAGGAACGCTTGAACGCCTTCAGCGGTTCGCATTCCAAGTGCCGACAAGATTCGACGTTAAGGCCGCTAAGGAAATAGAATCATCAAAGCAGTTTCTCCTGCATGCTCAGGTGCTTAAAGCCTGGGATGTGTTGTCTTCAGAACGGCATAGAACATCTAAGAGCTGAACTTATCAAGATCTTCCGGCGATCTGCTACGGAATCGAAACACCAACAATGACAATGGAAGCTAGCAGCCCTGCGCTTCTAGCAGAGCCATGAAAAAGCCCATCACCTCACTGCCAACCCGTCGGACAGCCTTCTGCACAAAGACCTGGAACCAGTCCTTGAGGCAGGTGTAGCAAGCCGCATCTCTAGCAAAGTTTGAACAATACCCGTGTATTTTTGGCCGCGCAGAAAAGCGATCTACTCATACCTCCGCAGTGGAGTTCGAGACTCTACATATCACATTACATCAACAAGGTAAGGGCCGTGCCAGTGTCAAGCCAGCCGTGATTCGCAAACCCTGGCCGGGCATATCGCCTGCAGAGCAAGTCGCAAATCTCTTTCGGTACGCATGCATGCAGCTGCGGATCCTGCCGCCAGGGCACACTGAAGTTGTATGGTGTCGTCAAAGATCGATTCGAAGATTCGCTCTGGGATAGCAGAAAACAAACGCAGAAACAAGAGCAGCGCATTGGAATGCTCTACCATTGTCATGGTCTGTGAAGCGTGGTGTCCACAGCTGCAGCCTTGAGGCTAAATCGTCGGAACTTCTTCCGGTGTCCTGGCAGAGCTTCTCGAGCGTCCTCCATGAAGCGGGCAAGATCGGGATTCCGGATGAAAACCTCAACGCCCATCAGCTGAAACTCAAGATTTTGTCGTTCCAGGTCGCCATCTGCAAACAAGGGACATACTGCCCCTTCGAGTAGCCGGTGGCGTAGAGTTTGAACACCTGAGGGGTAGAATCACAATCCTAAACGAGAGATATGAGCTACACTCAGAAGTTCCCCGTACAATCAGCGGACATGGGTTCCTTATGAAGGATTACATTAGGGACTATAGTAAACTACAATAGGGACCCGCATGTCTACTGTTGAGGGTCCATTAGTAAGGCTATTATCGACAGTGGCTCATATGCACAGCAGGTCCTACATCTCTGTCCCGCTACGAGCAGGCTTGGGTTCGCACCCGCTTTACCAGGGACTGCAGGTCCCCTGCACTTTTGTCTTCCTGTGCCCAACAACTGAGGACTGCACAAGAATCATAGCATGACTCAAGCTTTGCACAGGAGGCAGTGACCACTTCTATTGCCATCTGATCCGAGCGATGGATGGAGGCAGCGGGGTCCCAGCTTTACGCTGAACTGGTGAGGCCTGGTTTTTCGTTTGGGGCATGCTGCAGCTGTCAGACAGCAGATATGTTGCCATAACCACATCTGTGATATTGGCGAAAAGCGTAGCATGACCATGACAGCACTAGAAGATGCAGTAGTGAGTGACTGAAAACAGTACTGCCCGTAGTCCTCAACGCTGCTGATCTCATCATCAGCCTCGGAATCCGAAGACTCCACCTCGCAAGCTGCAAGTCATCGCTAGTCATCCACCTGTTTTGAAGCATCTTCCCAATGCAGCCGGCCTTGCCCTCGGCATAGATGGCCCTCAATCCAGAAGAGACCTGAGTTTACATCTCAAGTTACAGATGAAAACTAAAATCTCAGTGGCTGAGGCTGGGCAAACGACATCACCTGCTTCATCCGCCGTCCCAGAAGTCCCGGGATGCCTCGACTCCTCCTTCACTTTGGCCAGCAGGTCATCTGGCTCAGAATGATAGGCTCGTCGGCTATCTTCGGCAGCTCCTCTGAAATCTCACGTGAGGCTGACAACCCAGCCAACATCCAGGAGTCTCCCTCCTACTCAACTCCTGCAAACGAATCTGATCCCACCAGCCCTCCATCCAGCTCATCCGCTGTGACCGAAGCTGAGAGGCCCGTCCGCCCAGCACGGCGGTCCTGGACAAGCGCGCCAGAAGCACACAGCTGGCAGCCTGCGAAAGGAAAGGCCTTCCCGTCAGTATCCCTGAATCCGTCGCGTCCAGAAAATGCATCTCCCCCAGCAACCTGATTACGGCGGAACAATCTAAGCTCTGGCAATACAGGTGGCCCTTTCGCGAACACACCATGCAAGGGCAATATGAATCTCAGGAACCTGGGCCCGTCTCGCGAAGGGCCTGGTTCAGAAAACCATGCCACGAGCAGAAATGTGCACGTCAGACTGATACCACGTGATCAGCACAGGCCATAACCAAGCTGTAAGGACCCTGCATACCGGAGGATTCTGATCCAAATGCATCGTCCAAATTGGATGATTCCTGGCCCTTAGCTTCATTGCAAAAACTCCAAGCAAAGGAAGCAAGGCAAGCATCATTCATCTGCTCAACCTCGTCTCGCTCCCATCATGCCACAAACAATACCCCATTTGTGGTCAACATCCTGCATGCTCACGCCAAGGAGCAGAGGCCGCATCTGTCCCGGCTTGCCTCGGGCTGCGTGACTTCAAAATCTGCAAACGCCAAGCCAAGCTGCATCAACAAAAACCAGCTCGTAGACCATACATCTGGCCTGCCACTCAAAGCTTGTGCCCGAGATGCCTTTGATACAGGAAGGGGACATCCAGCTTACACAAGAGCCACAGTGCCGCAATCCCCCAAAGACAAGTTGCAGACCCTTGCCCATTAGCATCTGAACCACCAATACCAGCGTGGTCATGGGAACCGTTGCCGTAGCCATCACCAGGCCCTTGACCATGGCCAAAGCCACTCGGATCGGGATGAGACTTTGAAGATGTTCGTGCCAAGCCGGTCTGCTCGCTGCCCGGGTCCCTGACGTAAACGCACAGCAACCATCAGGCTACAACGCTCACTGGTCCAAAGCTAATCTAAAAGAAGCGGTGATCTGCTTGGCCTTGTAGCACCTGATGAGAGTCCATCGCCGTCTGAGACATCAACGCCGGCCCTTTTGGAACCAAAGCGAGAGCTCGAGTCGCTCGAGTCCGCATCCCCCGCAACTCCCCCGGCTAACACTGCTCCATGATTTGCATCGGCTCGGTCTTGCCCATCGCTGCCAGTGCCAGTGCCACCATTGCCGGCTTTGCTGTGCCCAGCCCCAGCTCCATTCTCATCACTAAGCGCACCATTGCCATGCAAATCCCCTCCAGCACCCAGGGCCGCATTCCCACGCTCTCCATCTATGGATGCGTCACCGGCCTCCATCAGGAGTTGAGAAATGCGATTTTGAGCATCTAGGAATGCAGGCAGGCTCAAGGAAAGCAAGAATCATCTGGCCTCCTCCTCATTGAGCACCCTTCTTCGGCTCCCGAGAGCTGCATCGCCATCTGGATTGGAGTCGCTGTCAGAGTCAGAACCAGATGAACCGTCTGCATCCTGCTGCGATCTTCCGCATACACAGGCCAGGCATTCAAATCTTTATCAGCTTTTAATTTTTAAACGAGCTCCGAGGACCCAGGATGACACAGGTGATTAATCCCCCCCTTAATATTTAACTGGTATAATAAATCACAATGGCAAGTGTTTAATGTTAGGGAGGGGTTGAATATATTAGGGGGAGGGGATTATACTCTGATTTTGAATCAGAGATCGGCCTCGAGGCCGGCGGCACCTCGCCGACGGCCGCTCCCTGCCTTGGGCAGGTCATGCTGCTAAGTGCACACATCCATGCACACACTTCGTGTGAGGGTGCATCACATACTCGTGCACTAGCGTAGCCACACGCATGTACAAGCTACACATGTGTTGCTTCTTGATGTTTTCTTGTGACCATAAAACTCATAAGGTCAGCATCTCGAGGCAGCGTCGAAACCAGATAAGTAGAAGCGGGAATCAGCGATGAAGAAGCGTGCTCTTGGGCTGATAGTGATTTTTTAGTGTTGCGCACTCCTCCTCTTCTGCTTCTTGTTGTGATATGCCATTTTGCTGGCCGCGGTGCTGCTGCCTTCGAGCTGCTCTTGGAGGTCTCCTTCGCATTCTGACTCCCCTTTGCAGCTATTTGGAGCCAAACACAGAGCTTATACTCTTGTCATCCCTTAAAGATTCGGGTCAACCGACGCAAGTTCAGCAGGCTCTTGAAGTACTCACATACAGCTCGACTTGCTAGAGGTCTAGCTGACAGCATGGGCTATGTAACAGCCCGGCTCGGCTTGCAAAATTGTTGCCTCACATTAACAGGCTGCCCGCGCATCAAACGCAGCTAGGAGTCGCTAGGATCAAGTATGGCCAGCTTTGCCAAGGTGGAATCATCCAGCACCTTCAGAGATACATGCTGTGGCGAATGTTGAATTTCCAAGCCGCTTGACGTAACCCTTTTCTGTTGACCTTCTCGACCACTAGAAACGGCAGGACACGCGAAACAATGGCTTCAATTGGAGCATCACCCTTGGGAATGCACTAAAATTCCACATCTCCCTTGAAACCCATCGCCTTAGATCGTGTCACCGCATTAGATGCTTGGCTTGGACCAGCATGGAAAAGGGGAAACTCCCAGCTGCGCACACCCAGACAAAACAAGCTTTGTCGTCCTTTCTGGAATGAATGTGTTAGGCGTAAAAGTCCCAGGCGCGGCCGCAGCAATCACTCCCCAGCGACGCGGCCGCGGCCCAGAACTGGAGGCCTGTCTGACTTTACAGAGGGTAATGCTCAAGAACAAGGCTTACTTCTGTAAAGGGCATCTTGATCATAAGGACTTCATGTGTTTGAAACACAAGATTCCAGCTTAGAAAGAAAGGCCACTGCAGAAGAGTCACAGCTACATCTCACACAACATCACACAGAGCAGTAGCTTTGGCATAGTTTGAAATCTCCGGCCATCGCTTGGTACGATAGGAGGGTAGATGTACCGGGGTGGATTGGGAAGGCAGATCAAATGGAAAAGAAAATGGAAAATGAAATGGAAACTGCTATATATAGTTTGAATCTGGTCGCGCAGACC